TATTTATTCAATAAATATTCATTGATCTCTAATCATATCTCAGACATTTTTATAAGCATTGGGAATACAGCTATGAACAAAACAGACAGAAATACCTGTCCTTTCAGAGTGACATTCTGGTGAGGAGTCAACTCAAGCACACATACATCTGCACATACATGCACACACTCATACACATATATTCTCTACAGAGTAAATGTACAAAGTAGGTATTCTATCTCTACTTATTCAACCCTATTCATTCATCTGCCATATACTACCTTCTCTATTAAGTCTTTGTTGATCCATTCTCTGCCCCAGTTCTGGAGGGAATTTCATTCGCTTTTAGTTCTGTATTTTTATCTTTGACTGCTATAATGATTTTAGCAGTCTACTTTATATTAAAATGGCATTCACTTTACATCTTATAAAATAGCATTTCATTGATTATTTTATTTAATTCTTATACTAACCTTGGAAAATGGGCATTATCATCTCTATTTTACAGATGAACAAGAAACTTTGACAAATAGTAAATGTCAGCCAGGTGCCTCCCTACCTCCCTTTCTCCCTCCTTCATAAATTTGATGAGCACAGATTGTGTGCCAGCCACAGTGGTAGCTCATGGCCGGGGGCAGAGGTATAACAATGAGTAAAATCATGGTTTTTGACATCATGGAGATCACTACACAAGTACATGTAAAAATTCCAACTGTTCTAAGTACTACCTAGGAAAGTTTCATGGATAGACTTTCCTGAGCTCCAACAGATATTAAGAGTTCAAAGAGATGGTGGAGAGGAACACATGAGAAATAGTCCATGTAAATGGAATAGGTGGACAAAGAACTTGAACCTGTCTCCTGACTCAAAATCCAGAGTTGTTTTCTATGCCACATTTCTTTTTATAGCTTTTTCTTCTATTAGGTTATAAGCTTTTGAACACAATAACCATGGCTTACTTTTCATTCCTCACAGCACCTAGCACATGGCTCCAGCTGGGGGTGTTAAGTACTTATTTAATTCCACTTATTAATTCCATTAAATAAATATAATTGAATCTGTAATAAATGGTTTCATGTTTTCTACCAGCACTGTATTACAAAGACACTAAAATGAAACATCAAGATTGAGGAAGTAAGAGAAGATAATATCATGTCTCCTTTAAGTACACATTCCCTCTTCTGAATCCTCTTCCCACCTCCCTCTATTTCAACCTGGCTTTTCCTTAAACATTTAGCTGGAAATACCAGAGATGCTGTGGGTTGGCCTTTCAGAAATGATTCTATATTCAGACAAATAGTTTTGAGACCATTATCCTTTATAAGGCAGTGCAACTTATTTTGTGATTTACAGTTTGCAAAGTATTTGCATATATATTGTCTCATTTGGTCTTTACTGGTAGAGGTTACTTTCCCCCCACTTTACAGATGGAGGCAAAGAGAAGTTAAAAGAAATGCTCAGGAATCCTAGCTGTACATAATGAAAGCAGAGCCTCTACTGAAAGCTGAACTAGAGTCTAAACTGGAGATCTTATCACTCCCTGTCCAGGGACAAACTCTCCAAAGGTATACTGTGAAGTGGTTTAAGAGTAAAGAGTGGAGTCTGAGTGCTTGGGCTTGATTCCCAGTGTTTCTCCTGACCTGCCTTGGGCAATACATTAGCTTGGGCTGGCAAAACAGAATATCACAGATGGTTCCTTAAACAGCAGCAATTTCTCACTGTTCTGGAAGAGAGAAGTCCAAGATCAAGATTGGCAGGGTTGGTTTCTGGTGAGAACTTTCTTCCTGGCTTGCAGACTGCCAGGTGCGTTCTCTCTGTGTTCTCACATGAGACGGAGAGCTCTGGTGTCTGCCTCTTCTTATAAACCCTGTGGATTAGGGTGACACCCTTATGACCTCCCTTAATGCCCCCCTTAAAGGCCCTATCTGAAAATGCAGGCACATTGGGGACAGGGCCTCAAGATATAATTTTGGGGAATTCAGTTTATAATAAACAAGATTCCCCCCCCTTTTCTGCCTCCTTTTCCTCTTCAGTTAGGTGGGGCTAACAATAGTACCTCCCTCACGGTCATGGGGACTAAATGAAGTGGGATGTTGTAAGCGCTGAGATGAAACTACGACTGGCTTGCAGGTGTTCCATGGCCATTGGTTACTACACACATTTTTAAACCAATTTAAACTTTTTATTGATTACTTCTTAACTACATAATGCGTCTCCAGATATTTAAGAAAATGATTGTAAAAACAAATAAGTCCAAAACACCAGTCTCTCTGGAAACATGTGCTGAGTTGTTTGGGGTTTTCCTTTTTGCACACACACATAAACACAGCCTTCACTTTGTCATGTAACATCCCTGCTTTGGCACTCACCACATTCATTTTTTTTTTTTTTTGTCAACATGTTCCAGGAATACTGAGAAAATAATTAGTGTGAGATTTTTCCAATGCTTAAAACCATTTCTCTATCTTTTATAACTAAATCCTAGGTTTTAGCCAATGTCAACTTTTTCCAGCTAGGCGACTTTGGGATTACGAGGCCGTGCTGATTGGAGTATCAATGGGCCTGGCCAAGAGGGGGAAAGAGAAAAAACAAAAGAGAGATACTTAATAACAGAAAGAGTGGTTTGCCACCAAAGTTATGGGTCTTTAAAGGTAGCACAGTGTTTTAGAAAGATCCTGAGACATGTAAGTTATTACTTCATCTATAATTCTCTACTTCACTTCAGCGAAAGTACAGCTTTTAGCATTGCAATGTCTCCATCTCCAAGGGAAAGGTTCTGATTTCCTAAGGTCTCCTAAACCATTGAGTGGGTTATTTTTTCTTTTTAAGGAAAATTCAGAAGTATATTTTTTGTGTGGAGAAAACTCTTATTCAAGGGGATAAGTCACAGCATTGGCCTGAACTTTAGGTGACTGTTATACTGCCTTTAAATTCCAAGAGATGAAGTGCTCAGAGCAAATATTGAAAGAAGATAAGCAAGGTCACTCATTTCACTCAAAGATAAAAGCTCACCTGGAATTTTCAGATGTAGGAAGTGCAAGGCCATAGGAAATAAAAAAAAAAAATGCCCATGTTTCCTTCTCCATCTTTCTGTCTAGGTCAAGCATAAGTCCTCTGTGTACATCCAATTCTTCGAAATGCACTCTTGAATTATTTTAACATCTACTCTTTTAGAGCTCAAGGACTGATCTCATTAATTCTCTTGAGAAAGAGAAGGTACAGTCTAGCTTTGCGGGCAGTGTGGATTATTTGTATTACAAAGCATACAAAGCAATTATTTAAGGTAGTAGCTGCTCTGGCGCATTTAGGTATTTCACAAATCATTAACTGCTCGAGAGAGCTGAGAAACAGACTGAAATGGAAATAGCCATTTCCAAGTGATGATTTTTTTTTCCAAGATAGGAAAAATAATAGACTCCAAGCTCCTGCTGCCTCTTTAGCCTAGAATACTCCTTTCCTCTCTTTAAGTTTCATGTGGCTAGATCTCAACCATTCATTTAGGGTCTAATTCAAAGTTCTGGAACCTCCCTAATTTCTTTGAGTGACCTGCCTCCTAACCCATCAGGATACAGAGATTCTTACCACACTACTAATATGTCCCCATTGCACTGCCCTTTGCCTTATCACTCCCCTTGGACTGTGGGTGGGGCTGTGTCTGTGCTCCAGCCAGGCCTAGCACAGAGTGTGTGTTTGTGTGTGTGCAGCCAGCTCAGACATAGTTCATGAAAAGAGTGGGCGTGGTAGAGACAGTTCCCAGCTCTGACCTACATTCCCCAGGCATCATATTATTTCTCAGGCGTGACTTTCCCTGCTACCCTTCCTAGCTCTTGTGGTTCACCAGGCATCCAAGTAGATTTTATGTGTATCATTTATCCCTCCTGATAATAGCCACTGTTATTATCACATTGGTATATAATGGACCACTGTGGTGCCTGTTACGCAATTCAGCGCTACTCCCTCTAGTTTTCTTCTGTGATGAAGTCATCAGTGATCTGCAAAGGGAAGCAGCTTCAGTGAGGGTCATGAAAGAAAGTACCTTCTCCAATCTTACCTGTGCTGATGTCTTGACAATAGCCTTTGGGCATGTTCAGTCCATGCATTTAGTTTTTTTTTTTTTTTCCACTCATTCTCAGACTGCCACTGAGCTGGTTGCAGTTGTCCACATGGATGGGATATGAAGGTCTTTGCCTTCAATATAGTCTAGCTCAGTGGTTCTCAACCTGTGGGTCATGACCCCTTTGGCAGTCAAACGACCCTTTCATAGGGGTCACCTAAGACCATCCTGCATATCAGATATTTACATTACGATTCATAACAGTAGCAACATTACAGTTTTGAAGTAGCAACAAAAATAATGTTATGGTTGGGTCACAACATGAGGAACTGTATTTAAAGGGCCAGAAGACTGAGAACTACTGGTCTAGATTAACTAGGAGAATATAAAACAGAAAGTGATTAGGAGCACAAGAGTGGAACAGTTAGAATCTTCTGGCGTTAGTATAGTGACAGCTCTCTGTGACTCTCTCCCACCCCAGATTCCATCCCTACCCTCACTCCTTGAGTGGGTATTAAAGGGGCTGTTCTGGAAGTGGTAGAATTTAAGGTAAGCTTGGAAACATGGGCAGAGTTTCGATGACCTGGGTTCCTCACCCTCAGAAACTCAAAGAAACCCTTTAGAATACTTGCTTCCCCCCCCCCCCCTTTGACATTTTGCATCTGACTACAGCCTGTGGTTGGAGGGTAATAGGAAAAACCAGCTCTGACCTGAGAATCAACCTCTTGACTCTCATGCTCTGTTGTGTGTGCCAGTGCCTCCTATCCATGTCCTCAGTGAGTGATGACAAGAGTCTTTCCCTCGGGGCTCTACATCCACTGGCTTTCAAAGGTATATAATTCTGTCTAGAATACTGATTAGTTCCACAAATATATAGAATTATATTGAAATGATGTTTTTTTTAGGTTGAATTTTAACCTGATGACACCTCTTAACTTCATGGGGGTTTTGGTGTCTATTTCCCCAGGATGAATTCCAAACCTATTCTCGGAAAAAGGTAATGTGGATCTACCTGTCAGCATTAAACAGCGCATTTGGTCTCACTCCTGACCACCCTCTCATTACAGATGAGGAGTGTCTCATAAATAGAGCTATAAGAAAGCCAGAACTAAAGGTAAGTACATTCATGGTTACTGCTGAGGCTAGAAAATTTTAATCTCCCCCCCCCCCAAAAAAAAAGTAAGATTAAATTCAGATCCTCCACTGTGTTACTTTTCAGTTGACAGTGTAGATCATTTAAATGGTTATGACAACCTTGGACCACCTCTAATTCTGCCCACCTCTAATATTAATTGCTAATAAATTGAGGTATACCAAGATTAATATGATGCCATGTATATAGTAGATGCTCAGTACATATTAGCTCTTAGTAGAATCAAGCCCTGTATAATAATCTATGTAACAGAGTTTATTTTGCAATATTGTTAATCACCAGGAATAGCCCAGGAGTTACCTGCAAGATGACCTTATTTTGAGTCTGTCATTAAAATGTGTTTGAGTTATTTCCACCTTTCCATATTAGATGAGCACTGCTTGGATTAGGACTAGTTAACATTCATATTAAAATATTTTATATAACTGACCATTTTCTCTTATGTGTGGGTGTGTGTGTGTAAACAGCTGTTTAAATTAGTTTTATGAGCTCCAGGTCAATTTTAAAAAATAACAACAGTCAATTGTTGAACAGTTTCTGTATTGTTAATTATTATTACTCAAAATCAAAAGAGGTCAAGCACCTCCAACTAACAATTGTTTAATCTGTTAGGTGGCCACTCACCTGGAGAAATAAACATCCCAAATCACCCTTATGGACATGGCCTCAGAGTATGATTAAGCTCTGGCATCTTTAACTGCATCAGACAAATAAGTGGACAGACAAATGAAGGAATACTCAAGTAAAGAATCAAAATATGAGGAAGGGACAGAGATCTTAGAGTGGAACATTCTGGTACTCAGGCTTGATATCTTCATTTACTAGCATAAGGCACAGGGACTTTGGCTAGTTCCTGCCTTTCTGAGCTTTGAGTTTCTTAATTTGTAAAATAAGAGTAGTTACTTCATCTTTGCCTGTTTCTCAGGACTGTTTGATCCTAAAAGGAGAAGAAGGATATTAAGGTGATTTATATTCATAAAGGACTGAAACTTTCATTAAAATTAGAGATGTCACAGGCTCAGCCATGACAACACTGATGGCAATAACAAAGACAACAAAACGAAAATGATAACCAGTCAGGGCCTTTTAGGGGGAATTTGGAGACTGCAGCTAAGAACTTTGTCAAATTTGCGAACATAAGCTAAGAGAGACTCTATAAACCATCTTGTAGGATTGCATGCAATATTGAAACCCAGGGTCTAACCTGTTCAACAGGATGTTCTTACAACATATTCCAATAAGAAACGAAGAGCAGGAAGCCCAGGGAGGGGAAGCTTCCTGGATCTGAGCTGAAAGAGGAAATTCACCCTGCAGCAGATCCCTGATTTCCTAATTACTATTTTTTTGGTCTCAAATTCCAGGAAATGGGCAAATAAACTCCACCTCTAGCAAGTATAATGCTTACCCTCTTACCAGCCTAGAGCCTAGAAGGTGATGAGGGAAGCAGAGAAACTCTAGGCAGAGATATTTCCTGCTGGGGAATCTCAAAGGTATTTAAACGGTCTATGACAGAGTCATTCTTCTTACTCTGAAGAATGGCTTTAGAAATTGTCAGGAGTTAATGGAATTTCTTTTTTCTGGCCTGAGGTAAAACTTATCAGTAACCTCTTTATTCCTCATTATTGCTGCCTTCCTCTGCTGATGTTTTGTGTCCAACATGTTTTATAAATTTCTCAATCTCAGTTTGTGGTTTCACAGCCTCTTGACCCATGCTCGCTAACTTGGCAGTGGCCTCACATTCTACCATCGTTTGTCCTTTAAAATTTTTCCAACATGAATTTTGAACTTATAGACTTAATAAAGTAGGGAACCCTCCCTTTATACAATTCCTGGAAGTTATGGGATTTTCAGAACTTCTGAGACTAGCCTGATTATTAGGTTATTTGAGAAACTGGACTTGGGGCCAGCTGGGCTTGAGTTTGAATTCTAGCCTTGCTTCTTTATAGCTTCAATCTTGGACAAGTTACTTAATCAAAATGAACTTTGGAGGTGAAGTAAAGATGAAAATAATATCTGTCCTACCACAGGGTGATGAAAAAGACTAAAGAGGATGTGCAAAAAGCTCCCAAGTACTCATAAACAGTAGCTATGATTATCATCCAGCTCCATTAGCAAAATTGCAGGGAATATGGGAAAGGAAAAGAAGATGTTAGGCAAGAAATTTGAGTTTCAAAGATGGGCCATGACAACTATCATAATCTGTGCTGGTTACTTTCAAATACTCTTCTTCACTCTAACTTGCAACTTGTGAAGGAGAAAGAATCATTTTCAGTAGCAATTAATTCAAACCTTATGCTCAAAATCAATTGGAAAATAGGATTTATTTTTAAAAGATATTATGCAACCAACCTCATTGAACATTCTTACTTGGAAACTACAAATGTGTGTGTGTGTGTGTGTGTGTGCATGCTTACATGCATGCACTGTGTACCTTCACATGTATTTATTGAATAGAGTTCAGAGATTCATTTGAGGTAGCCCAGGTCTTGGAGCTGAGGAATTTAAACTCTATGTCTAGTTGACATGTGGTGTACAAAACATTCTTTCTTTTATTTAATAAAAAATGTATTGAGCATTTATTATGTACCAGCTAAATACTTTTCCCAGTTTTAGTATTTATCTAATTGTTATGTTGACTATAATATTTGTATGTATAGGACATGTTCAAAGGAGTGGCAATGGAACTCAATAATGATCTGACCTTGACTTATTCACCAAAAAACTGAGGTGCAGAGACATTTAGTTGAAGTTCTCAAGGACACAATTATTAGAGCAGCTATAAAAGGAAGTCTTGAACAGTTTCTTGACTTTGGCTGCACATTAGAATTACCTGAGGAAATTAAAAAATAATTATGCCCAGCTGCACCCCAGATAAATGAAATCAGAATCTCTTGGAGGTGGGACCCAGTATCACAACTTTTTCAATGCTCTCCAGTTGATTCCAATGGTCAAAATGAAGCTATAACCATTGTTCCATAGCAATATGACAGACTCACTGCTTTTCTTTGTGCTTAATTAGGTCACCAGTTAATGGAAATTCAGATTCATATACACAGTTGCTTAAAGAAATCAGAAACAAAAAGGCAAAATTGCCATAAACATTAGCCTTTCCTTTCTTTCCCACCCTACTCTCAGATCCTCACTTCCTGGAGCACTTTTTCTTGCAATAACCTTATCACCCTCTTCTAGTACCAGCTACCAGCCTAATCCTCTTTAGTGCCCCTTTTTTAGTGTACTCTGCAAGTTCATTAACTCTAAGATAAAGTCCTACATACCTCATCTAGCATTTAAGGCAGTACTATCTGATCTTGTTTATTTTTCCTTTCTTTCCTTCCTTCCTTCCTTCCTTTCTCCCTTTCTTCCTTTCTCTCTCTCTCTCTCTCTCTCTCTCTCTCATTAGTCCTCACCAGAGAATATTTTTTCATTGATTTTTTTAGGAAGAGTGGAAAAGGGAAAGACAGAGAGAAACATCAATGTGAGAGAAACACATCAATTGGTTGCCTCCTGCACAAGCCCTGGGGAGGAGCCTGCAACCAAGGTACATGTCCTTGACTGGAATCGAACCAGGGATCCTTTTGGCCTGCAGGCTGACACTCTATCCATGGAGCCAAACAGGCTAGGGCTGAGTTTTATTTATCTTTCCACCCTCCTTCTCCATTTATTAAACAGGCACACTGACTTGCCCCTCTTCCACAACTAACTTGTGCATAATTTCTTTGAAATGCTCTCTTGCCATCTCATCTGAGAAAAATTCTTCCAGTCTTTCAAGGCCGCAGCTCAGATGTTATTTTCTCCACGATGCCTCTGTCACCTGCCTTCTCCATATTTCTATAGTATTTCAATACTATATTTTTACTTTTTTAAATTTCTTTTACTTATTCATATTTGATGGTATGGTATAGTTTGCTTTGTAATGTATTTTCTTTCCTTGTTAGGTTATAAGGTAGTGGAATGCAGAGACTGAATTTTATTCAGATACTTATCCATATAATAGACCCAAGATTCAGGTTGTTTGAATGATGATTTCTAATGAAGAATGCCATTTGTGTAGTCTGAAAGGATAAGACAAGTTAGGAAAAGATAAAGTCTTAAATACCCATCGTAGGGCTCTATCTTTGTTTCTTCCACAAATGCTTCTTTAGCCATTAAACATCATATATATGCTGATCCTCAAACAAGAGACTTTCTTAGTACTTTTCTTTTGTAGGTGAGATACATAAAAGTGCAGAAAATAAGATATGTTTGGAACAACTTAGAAGGACAGTTCCAGAAAATTGGGTAAGTTGTTTTAACAATTGCAAACAAAGAAAAATATTATCTCAAAAATATTACTGCTAAATATATCTTTCTCATTATTATTATTTTAGCTCTTTGGAAGACTGGCTCAGCTCTGCCAAGATACATCTAAAATTTGGATCAGGTCTAACAAGAGAAGAACAAGAGATTAGGTACCATGCATATTGTTATCTACACCCATTCAAAAGGATTCCTACCCGTTAGCCAAATAGATACGTTAATCATCATCTTAACTGATCAACATCAGAAAACATTATAATGCTCTCCTTAGTTTTATTGAATCAAATGCTTTTACATATGTTATTTCACCTTATCAGAGTAGCTTTGTGAGGCAGGTAGAACAGACACCTCGTTCATCCCAACATAACAGATGAGAAATCTGAGGCTAAGAGAGGTTTAATGATCTGCACAAGAGCACACAGATGGGGAATGATAAAGAACTGAGTCTCACACTTCTGACTGTAGGTTTGGTGCTCTTTCTTTCTACATAAGTCTTCTAAGGTTATTATAATAATAAGGTTGAGCCAGTTTTGACTGCAATCAGGAAATATATATTATCCTATGATAACATAGTTAAGTAAAAATTGTGGAGCGGCAGAAGAATACCATGCAAGACATACAGCTCCACAATTCTAAATCACTTACTAGGCAAAGAAGTTCTAGGAAAGGCATTGGATTGAATATCAGGAGCCTGCCATTAATTCACCCTGTGGCTTTGAGCAAATAGTTTCTCTTGTCTGGGCTTTAGTCTCCTAATGGTTAAAAGGGGGAGGAGAACTCTATAAAGGCCTTGCTGGTCCTAAGTTCCTGTGATTCTCACATTCCCCTACACCCCATCTCCTGTACCTTAAATAGATCTAGAATGTTGCAGTATCAGCATCACCAGGAAGCTTGTTAGAAATGCAGAATCTTAGATCACATCTCACCCCTATTGAATCAGAATCTTTCATATTAACAAGACCACAAAGTTATTCATATGAACATTAAAGTATGAGAAGCACTACTCTAATATATTCGACCAAGCTATTGGATCTGAACATTTATGTAGAAGGAAAGAGTGGAAAAGAAAGTAAAAGGCTAACCACAGAGAAAGCGGTTAGTATTCTCAACTGCAAAAAACTCATAAAGGTCATTGCTGTGATAATCAAAGAAACACATCTCTGGGTCTTCAATTAAAGGGCTATATAACTTTGTGTAGAGCAATTTTTGAGAGCACACCACCTTTTCATTCACATTGAAACAAAATTGAAACAGCTCCCTATAACTGATTGGGAGTAGGAAGGTAGGCACAGTATTCCTTATCATTAGAACTACTCTCTCCTATTGGCCCCTCCTTCCCATTTCTATGGAGCCAGAGGTGGGGAGCATGCCAATCTTGAAACACTTGAATGAGACAATTGCTAATATTAAATACCAAAATTACCCTGAGGGAAATATTTAGACTTCAGAAAGAATCTAGTTTAATAGATGCAGTATGATTGTATTTATTGTTTTGGTACCTGGGTATCCCTCCCCCTCCCCAGTTATTTTGAGAAGGATTAAGGGTATGTCACAAGGGAGGCTTACATTAATCCCCAAAATGAGAAAGTGAATATGGACTAGATATTTTTTGAATGGGCAAGAAGTGAGTTTCATTTTTATTATTAGTTACTGAATGATCTGTGATCTTTCCCAATAGGAGGTTAATATGTGGGCCTAATACTATTGATGTTGAAATCACACCGATTTGGAAACTGCTCATCAAAGAGGTAATATTACCTTTTTTGATGCTGGATAGAAAATAAAGGAGTTTGGTTCTAGTCAAACAATCAAGAATACTATTTGTTAATAGGTAACTGTAATTTGGGATATTTTAAAAGAATGACAAGCATGTTTTTTTTATATCTCTTTCTACTCTTTTTCTTGAAGTCTACCTTTTGAACATGGTGCCTGACACAGTATAAGATATGATGCTCATGTGTCTACATACCCCCCCACAGACTAGATGAACACAAATTCTTTTTTTTTTTAATCCTTTGTTTCTTAGTCTGTCTCAACTTTGCGTAACTAAAATAATCATAAAAATTGAAAACCTATTCTTTTCTTATGGGGAACATATGCAATTTCTTTAGCATCCAAAATCGTAGGAAGAAAAACATCTGTTAAGCCTTCTTAGTTCTATTGATCTCAAAGTGTGTGTGGGAGGAAAAGAATGACTTGGCCATCATTTACTGGGTGAATTTTTCCTCTTTGGCTCTATCACTGGGTTTATTTTTCATTTTATAGTAATTATTTGTGAAACCACATAGCTATACTCTGGGTTTTCTCCTGCAGTTCACCTCCACCTCTCAGTCTTAAAATAAAGCTTATAAACTCAAGGTACTTTCTCAATATTTCTAGCAAGCTTTCAGGCATGAAAAAAAGCAACAGAATCTGGTAGGCAAAGTTCCTGTGTGCTTCTTCCCTAACCAGAGGCAAGATTACCACTCCTGTGTTAGACAGGAGGGAATTTGAGTAAGGGCACAGAATGTTTTCAACCAAAGCAGGATTACAACTGCTAGGAGTTAGCCTCTACTTTTCCCCAGTATTCTAGATGCTCAGTTATAGCTTACCACTCTCAGCTTGGCTCTTATGAGGAAATACCACCTTCAACTCATCCATTAATGTAAAAGTCTTTAATGGCTTCAATTATGGCAGATACTGTGTCATAGAAAACTAGGAAGCATTCTAACTTTGTACTAGTAAACCTGAACTAATACTTCATCTTTCTGAAGGCCAGTAAACTGGACATGATAATACCTACCCCTTACACAATTGTTGTGATAGTCAACATAAGAATATGTGAGGCACTACTTTGTAAATTATAAGGGTAGTAGTGATTAAAAGTAGGCACTCTGGGTCAGATTGCTGGGGTTCAAGTCTTGGTCTAGGAGAGTCACAGCTGTGTGACCTTGGGCAAGTTTCTCAAGATCTAAGGTTCAGTCTCTTCATCTTTACAATGGAGATAAATAATGACATCTGCTTAATGATGTAATTATGAGAACTAAGTGAGTAAATTCAGGTGAAGTTGCTTAGTGCAGTTTTTGGCACATAGCAATTCCTGAAGAAATATACTAAGAGTATTGTGTGGGCGATTTATGTCATAGAGATGATTATGAAAATGAATGTCAATGAATAACTAAGTGTGAATCCTAAATATCTTTCCATCTTCCTGTTTTTGTCTGCCAACAGGTTTTAAATCCGTTTTACATATTTCAACTCTTCAGTGTTTGTTTGTGGTTTAGTGAAGACTATAAGGAATATGCTTTTGCCATCATAATTATGTCCACCCTTTCCATAGCTTTGACAGTATATGATCTCAGAACGGTAAGTTTTCCCACAAAACTTACGGTCTCAGAAAGAAAGCAGTAATAACTTTATTGAAATTATGTTAGAAAGGACAGTCAGGACATGGTTATTGTCTACTCCATAATAAAAGAGACCATGTTTTTAATATCTAACACAATAAACTGATGTTCAACTACTGTTAGTCCTTTTTCTTCTCTCATATCCCCATTCCTAAACTTTCAAGTTATTTTTGTTCTCTCTTTGGCTTATTCATGGTGATTAGGCAGAAGATTATGCACACATTTATGAGTCATTAATAAATGAAAAAATATATCTAGAGAATACTAATAGATGTTGAAGATGATGGAAAAGGGGTGGAAGGTGGAGGAGTCTCTGTATAATATTAACTTCTTTGCTTTTTATGTTTGGTTGGTACTTACTTGTCAAAGTCCAAATCCATATCATGGTTTTCTTTATGTCTACACCAGGGCATGTAGGTGCTGTTGGAAAAAAAGTCACAAAGAACAGATTAGTTGATTTCACTATAAATCATGAATGCCCACCTCATCTGGACAAGCTTTCCATTCTTTGAAATTAAGTTTTCAAACCAAATCTCCTTTTAAGTTTCTGAAATGCCTAGCTGCCCATATCCCACTTTCCCTCTGATTCAGCAGATAACCTTGCCACATTTTTCATAAAGATAGAAGCCATAAGACAGGAATTTGCTCAACTCTCCACTTTCCAGCTGTCCAATGACCCTTCTCTCCCCCTCCATCCTGCCTTGATCTCTCATTACAGAGGACAAAGTGCCTTCTGCCTGCCTTGAGAGAGTATCCTCTCCAGCCTGCTCAGAGTGCTTATCCAGTCATCGGATGATCCCTTCTTGCTCCCTCTCCTCAAGAGCCTTCTCATTAGCACTTAAACATGGTCAAACTTCTCCCAACTTAAAAAACTTAAATAAATGAAACGATCCCTTCTCTTGACCATTCTTTCACCTTCAGCTATTAGTCTACCTCTCTACTTCCCTTTACAGGAAAACGTCTTGAGTTCTTTATGCACACTGCCATTGTTTACTCATCTCCTTCTCATGTTTTGCCTATACTACCTAGATTCTTCTCTCATGACTATTTAAACAATTCTTGTTAAGTGCCGGGGTCCAACCCCAGCAGGTCCAGGGGTTCCCAAAGGCTTAGATGGAGTCGGCGAAGAAGGAAGGACACAGAGACAGTGTTCAGTTGATCAGCAGCCTAGCCAGGATCTCCAGCCAGGATCTCCAGCCAAGTTCTGGTCTGGATCTCCAGAGAGGTTCTGCTTAGGATCTCCAGTGAAGGTTCTGTGTCCATGTTCTCTTGCTAGGTTCTCCAGCCAGGTTGTCCAGGTTCTCCAACCAGGTTCTGTAACCATGTTCCCTCGCTAGGTTCTTCAGCCAGGTTCTGTCCAGGTTCTCCAGCCAGGTTCAGTCACCAGGTTCTAGTCAGGTTCTCTTGCCAATTTCTGTAGTCAGGTTCAGTCCAGGATCTTTTGCCATGTTCTCTCCAGCGAAGTTCTTCTGTCTGTAGGTTCTGTGTAGGTTCTGTCTTCTAAGTCCTGTCTTCTAAGTTCTGTCTTCTAAGTTCTGTGTTCTAAGTTCTGTGTATTGCTGTCTTGTTACATCTGTATTTATACCAGTTGATTCAATCCTATCAATCTCTATTACAAAGGTTAGGGCGTTTCTTATCTCCATTCCAGGAAGTAAAGATTATGTAGCTTAAGCATGATTGTTCGTAGTTAAAGTGATTAATTACCCGCCTGGCACTTAGTTGAGGGGTTTTATTCCCTCCCTAACTTCAGGGGAAAATCCCTACCTGGGGAAACAACTTTCTCAGAGAGGAGACCTTGGTTAAAACACATAGTGCCAAGAAGGTGAGCAAACATATTAAGAACAGTATGCCATATATGCCAGGTCCTTTGAAACAGCAAGGATGGACCGGCTCCCGGCAGTTAAGGTCACCACTATGATCTTAAGGCCTTAAAATTAAGGTAGTTTTAATTCTTTCAAAAAGTAATTTTTAGCTATTTTTTCTTAATAGAAAGAGTAATATATATCGATATAATAAAAATTTCAAACAGTATAAATGAAAAGTAAATATTTCTCCCACTTTAGTTCTCCCACTTTAGTTCTCCCACTGTCCACGTTACCTTTCAAGAGGCATCTACTGGAACCAGATGTTCTATATATTTTCAGCAATATTATACACATATGCATTAACTTGTTTTACACAAATGGAAGTACATTATATGTATACTGTCATTCACGTACTTTCATATTTTCCCTGAATAAATCTTGAATATCTTTTCATATCTGCACAAATATGTTTTCTCTAGATGTACCATAATTTTTAAACCAGGTTTACATTAATAGATGTTAGGTTGTTTCTAGTCTTTTACTATTAAAACAATGCCACAATGATGATTCTCGCACATAAATCTTTTCACACACCCACATACCTGTATATTTATAAGTATATATAAATTACAAGTCTGTAATTTATATCACATATTAATACATATGTCATAACAGATATATGTATAATTATCTATATCTATATTGATATGAAGATATAAAACTTATGTAATTGGAATTACTTAATCATGAGCTAGGTATAGTATTTTAATAAATATTGGCCAAATGCCACTTACCCAAGTAATAACAATTTACACTCCTCCCAACAGTAGATGAGTGTTTTCCTTAGCTTTGCCAATATAAACAAAAATAGAATCCAATAAATTTAATAGTATGTTTTCCACTGAGTGGAGCACTTGTTCATGTTTTAAGCTGTTTGTTTCTTTTACTATGAACTGTATTCTTGTGCTACATTAATTTGGTGCTTATTGGTCTTTTGCTGATTTTATGGTCTCCTTCCCACAGTGGATCCTTTTATTTCCAGTACAGATTTCACTCAGCCTCTCAGTTGCATTTGACATAGTTAATGGCTCCAGTGCTTCTTTACCAAGTACTCTTTTCCTTTGGTTTCATAGACAACCCACTCTCCATGCTCCCTAGCTGCTCTTTTCCATTCTCATTTATAGTTTATCCTCCCCTACCTGACCTTTTAAAATAATGGGTGTCTAAAAATAAGAACAATATGAAAATGTATACAACACATACACCATCTTGTATACCATGTGTGTGTTCCATCTTCTGCTCCCCCTCCACTTGTTCAATCACTTGTATTAGTTTCTTGTGCATTCTTCCAAAAATTGTTTTAGGCAATTTGAGTAAATATATATATATATATATATTTTTTTTTTCTTTCTTTCTTTCTTATGCAAAGGTAGCATAATTATATTATTGTCTACATAGCTTTATTATTATTAATAATATGTGATGAGGGTGTTTTCATATGAGTACACTGAGAGATTTTTCATCATTTTTATAGCTGCATATATCAATAACTTCTAAAGGCATATGCTAAATGACTTCTAATTTTATATATATCTCAAGTCCAAATACCTCTTTTGAGTTCCAAACTCATATCCCACAATCTATTTCATTCAATATCACTTCTTCAAGAAATATTTCTGCCAATTCCACTGGCTGTATATGCTCCAAAAGCACCTTATGTTTTTTGCCTCTTACTACTGATTGTAATGATATATTAATATATATGATTATTTAATTAAATGTATTTCTCCCATTAGGTGGTAAATTGCTTGATGATAAGAACCAAATTTTGTTGTTGTTGACCGTTCATATTATTCCCAACTGTTAACATAGTTCTGGGGGGCATAAAGGTTGTTCAACAAATGTTGAGTGAATGTATGAATAAGTAAAAGTGAGTTAATAACAGAACACTCTGTCTTTGACCTTACCTATTCTATTAACCATTCTTAAGATATATTAATCGAATTTGTAAATGATTTGAAGCTAGTAGATTTAGAGAGTTTCTTAAATGACAAAATCAGAATAAAAACTCACACTAAATGATGGGCTCCTTTAACCCTCCCACCCCCAGAACCAGATAAAAGTTTTTTCACACAAAGTTGTTTAATAAATGTAAAATAAAATATAATTTTATTATATTTTATGTAAATATAATTTACATAAAATGTAAAATAAAATATAATTTTATTATATTTTTCTTGTTATCTTTTATTGATTCACTCTTAATATACCATATAGTTAATATATTAGAACAATAAATACTACAAGCAAATAGTAGGAACAACCAAATTCCTTATAAAGTTATAGATTAAGAACTCTGATACAGGATGTCCCAAAATCGAAATAATTCTTTAGTATACTAAATGTATATCTGAATGATCAAAGTTCTAGATATTATTTATCTACTTAAAAAAGTAAATAGGAATTTATGGATATCAAAATCTCCTTTGAATGGAAGAGCATGCTGGGAAATTCCTTTATGCTGGAGAATATGCACTTCTCATTGCTGAGTGAAGAAGATAGTTGAATGCTTTACTAATTGTGTAACAAGCTACTCAGTCTTGTTTTTAGCCAGTACTTTCAGTTGGCCACAAGATAGTGCTCCATCTTTAAAGAAGGCAAATACTTCACTGAGTAATACCTGGGACCTATTCTCAAATAAATAAACCTTTTCTATTTTCCCTCCTTTTCAGCAATCTGTAAAGCTCTACCATCTAGTTGAGTCACATAATAACATTACAGTCCCTGTATGTGGGAGAAAAGGTAAGTCCCACTATTTTAGATGTATGTGCTGTCCAAATGTAATCAGAAAAGTATTGAAATTTGTATTTCTGATGGTTCCTACTACTTTTTTTTTTTTTTTATCTCCTTCTGTGGATTTACCTAAAGAGAGGGGAGACTGGAGATCTTTTCACCTTAAACAAACAACTTTTTTTGAGATAAAACTGATACAGAATAAAATGAACATAAACTATTCAATTTGATAGTTTTGACATATGTACATGTTAACATGAAATTATCACCAAGATAACAATAATGACTATTTATTACCCCCTAAAGTTGCGTTGTGCCTGTTTGTAATCTTCTCTCTCAACTTCTTTCTGCCTATCCCTAAGCTCAGGCAAGCAACTTTCAAGTTTAGAATTTATATAAATGGTATTGCACAGTACGTGTTTTTTTGTCTTTCAAAATATATTTTGGGTTAATTTTGGGGGGATTAAAGTTTATAGATATTTTGAAATTCATCCATTTTGCTAAGTATATCAATAGTTCTTTTTTTTTTCACCCCTGAGTAGAATCCCACTGTATGAATTTGTTCATCCATTCACCTGTTGATGAAAATTTGGGTTGTTTCCAGTTTGGGGCTATTACAAATACTGCCACAATGAACATTTGGGTTCAAATCTTTGTATGGACATAAACTTTCTTTTTTTTTTTTATGGGGAAATACCTCACTGTAAAATGGCTGGATCATGTGGTAGAAAATGTTTAACTTTCAAAGAAAATGCCAAACATTTTCCAAAGTGGCTGTGCTATTTTATATGCCCACCAGCAATGACTGAGAATTCCAGTTGCTCTACATTTTTTTCCACAACACATCATCTGTGCTCTGTATTGTGTGTTTACCACCCCAAGTCAAGTCTCCTTTCATCACCATTTGTCCCCACCATACACTATACACTCCTCCACCTCCCCTACCTCCTATAATCACCACACTGTTGTCAGTGTCCGTGAGGTTTTCTATTTTTTACTCAATCTCTCCATCCCACCTACCCAGCTCCTCTTCAACCCCCCACCATAATGGCTGTCAGCCTGTTCTCTATCTCTGAGTCTGAATTATTTTGCTTGTTAGTTCATTTTGTTCATTAGATTCTACATTTGCCAACACTTGATATATCAGTCTTTTTAACCTTAGCCATTTTTTACAATTATGAGTTATATTTCATTGTTGCTCTACTTTGCATTTTCCTAATTGACTAATGGCATTGAACACCTTTTCAGGTGCTTATTTGTTACTTCTAGATCTTTTACTTTTGTTAAAGTCAAGCTTATTAATTTTTTCTTTTGTGGATCATGCTTTCTGTCTCATAGCTAAGACATCTTTATGTAATCCAAAGATTTCCTATGTTGCCTTCTAGAAGTTTTATAGTTTTAGGTTTTACATTTAGGTATATATTGTATTTTGAGTTTTTGTAATTGAAGTTCATTTTTTACAAACAGATATCCAAGTGTTCCAACACCATTTGTTGTAAAGACTATTCTTTCTCAAATGAATTGTCTTTGCAGTTTTGTCAAAAATCAGTTGCTTATGCATAGGTGGATTTATTCATGGTTTCATTCTATTCTACTGATCTATTTGTCTGTCTTTATACCAATTCCACACAGTGTAGCTTTATAATAAGTCTTGATATAGAATAATGTTAGTCCTAGAGTTTTGTTATTCTTTTTTCAGTGTTGTTTTTGGCAATATTGGGCCCTTTGCATTTCCATATGACTTTTAGAAACAACTTATCAATTTCTACCAAAAAACAAAACAAAACAAAACCCACAACAAACACATGCTGAGATTTTTTTATTGGAATTCTGTTGAATCTGTAGATTAATTTGTGGAAAATTGACTTACTCACAAATTTGGGTCTTGTGGTCCATGGACATGGTACATCTCCCTATTTATTTAGGTCTTCTGTGCTTTCTCTTAGTATTTTTCAGGTTTCAGTGTATGGGTCTTTCACACTCTTTTTCCAGATTTATTCTTAAGTATTTTATATTTTGATGCTGTTATAAATGATATTTTTAAATGCAAGTATCCAATTGTTCCTGTGCCAATAGTTTCCTTACATATGTGTGTTGATTACTAGTCTGCTAAATACTAAAGGAGGATCCTCTGCAGGTCTTTGTGGCTCTCTTCTGGGCAGTTGTCTCTTCTCTAATACTCTGGGCTGTGAACTCAAACCACCTTAATTTCCATAGACTTTTAAATTTTTTTATTTATTATTTTTTTCTTTATTGATTAAGGTATTACATATGTGTCCTTATCCCCCCAATTTTCCCCCAGTCCCTTAGTGTCTGTTGGTTATGCTTATATGCACCCATACAAGTCCTTTGGTTGATCTCTCCCACTTCCTACCACCCTCCCCTCCCTTCCCTTTGAGGTTTGACAGTCTGATCAATGCTTCTCTGTCTCTGGATCTGTTTTTGTTCATTACTTTATGTTGTTCATTATATTCCACAAATGAGTGAGATCATGTGATATTTATCATTCTCCGACTGGCTGATTTTGCTTAGCATAATGCTCTCCAGGTCCGTCCATGCTGTTGTAAATGAGAGGAGTTCCTTCATTTTTATAGCAGCATAGTATTCCATTGTCTAGATATACCAATTTTCTAATCCACTCATCTGCTGATGGGCACTTAGGCTGTTTCTAAATCTTAGCTATGGTAAATTGTGCTGCTATGTACATAGGGGTGCACATATCCTTTCTGATTGGCGTTTCTGGTTTCTTGGGATAGAGTCCTAGAAGAGGGATTATTGGGTCAAATGGGAGTTTCATTTTTAGTTTTTTGGAGAAACTCCATACTGTTCTCCACAGTGGCTGCACCAGTTTGCATTCCCACCAGCAGTGCATGAGGGTTCCTTTTTCTCTGCATCCTCGCCAGCACTTGTCATTTGTTGATTTGTTGACAATAGCCATTCTGACAGGTGTGAGATGGTACCTCATTGTCATTTTGATTTGCATCTCTCGGATGATTAGTGACTTTGAGCATGTTTTCATATGTCTCTTGGCCTCTGTATGTCCTCTTTTGAAAAGTGCCTATTTAGGTCCCTTGCCCCCCATAGACTTTTATCTCTGTACTGAACTCAAGTATCCTCTGAACATAATCTGGGTTCCTCCTCCCTCCATAGTGGCCTGGAAACTCTCTAAAGGTAGTAAAGTGAACAATTATAGGGCGCTTTTATTTGTTTCCTTTTTCTTTCTTTCTTTCTTTCTTTCTTTCTTTCTTTCTTTCTTTCTTTCTTTCTTTCTTTCTTTCTTTCTTCATTCTCTCTCTCTCTCTCTCTCTCTCTCTCTCTCTCTCTCTCTCTCTCTCTCTCTCTCTCTTTTTGCTTTTGTTCAGTGTCAATACCATTGTTTCATATATTTTGTATGGCTTTTTTCAGGTGGGCAGATAAAGCTGGACCTTTATGTTACATCTTGGCTGAAAACGAACCTTTACCTTTTAAAAAATGTCCTGGGCATCTTCTTCTCTTAATTTTCTATAACAAAATATTTTGAACATATACAACAATGCAGAGACTATGCTAGTGAAACCCCACGTACCTGTCACCCAGATTCAATGATTATCAACTCATTGAATCTTCTTTTCTGCTCTTCTACTTCCTCCTTCTCCTTGGATTATTTTTGAACTATTCCAGCTGCCATATCATTTCATTAAAAAACATTTTAATATATACCTAAAAGGTAAAGACTTCCTTTCAGTTCCTTTAGCACATCTAAAATAATACTCTCATAGTTTAAAAAATCATCAACTATACAGGCAGTGTTGAAATTTATCAATTGAGTCAGAAGTGTGTATGTGTGTGTGCATGCACATTATTACTTATGATATATATGATATATAGTCTATACATTTTCAAATCAGAATCTAAATAAAGTCCATAAACTGCAGTTGGTTGATAAGTCTCAAGTGTATTTTGATCCATGCTTTCTCTCTTCTATACCTTATTTTTTCTTGCAATTTTTGAAAATTATATTTATTAGGTGACATTGGTAAATGAAATTATATAGGTTTTAAATGTACAATTCTATGATACATTATCTGTATGTTGCATTGTGATCCCATTACCCAAAGTCAAATATTCTTTCCATGCATATCTTTTGATAAAAAAAATAAGTGTTTCATCGCATGGTTTCCACAGTTCAGATTATATTAGTTGCATACTCATGGAATTATTTAACATAATTTTCTACTCCTTGTATTTCCTATAAATTGGTAGTCAGATCTAAGGCTTGTATTTTGGCAAGAATGCTTCTTAGTTACCATTGTGTACTTCTTGAGAGGTACATAGTATCTGATGTCTTCTTTTTGTGATTTAGTAGACATAAATGCTCATGATCTAGATTTATTATTTCATTAGGAATTTCAAATTTCTACTTCTATCAAGCCATTTTTATATATTTGGTGGAATATTTCTGTAAATACTAGTAGTCTAAAAAACTATTTCATTATCTGGAGATACAGTTTAAGAAAGTACATAGTATAAAAAGGCTATTCCTCATTATTTATCAGCCTTTAAAAGAATGGGTTAATCTAGCATTTTCAAAGGTGTTTTTTTTTGTTTGTTTGTTTTTTTCTTTTAGTGTCGTGAATATACAAGGTTAAACATGGTTGATACATTTCATCCATTGCAGTTTTTATTCTTATTCAAATTGTCCCTTTTTTTGGCCATTCAGAGCCTCTTCAGGTTGGCTCTTAAGTTCCTTTGACATGATCCTGTAGTCTTTGGATGTTTTAATGATTTCTGGTATAACAAGGTATTCCAAACTCATTTTGAATACTTCCTGCTCCAAACTGAGACATACCCATTTTTCCAAGGAGCCCTTAGGTATGGTACTTAGAGGCCTCAATCAGAGCATAAGGAGTGCTCATTTCTATGGTGTTACTAGGCCTTTTCAGAAGGCATACCTAGGAAATAATATAAAGGTAAAATACATTATGGAGTTCATACTGACAGTTCCAATTCATGTTTAGAAACATGGATTTTTTATTTACCCTTGTTAATTGTGCTATTGTCTCTCCTTCTCCATACCTAAAGTCAGGATTCTCAGTGACAACAACAAATTACTCATTTGCTTTATCTTGTTATGCATAATAATCTCAAAATAACAAACCAAAACACCCAGCAACAATATGACTCCAATCCCTTTTCCCTCTACCTTATATAGTCATTCTCTCTATAGTTATCATTTTTGCTTTTGTTTGGCTTATTCTTACATTCATAATATTTAGAGCTATATAGTATATTTACAGAATAATAGGACACATGTTTATGCTGCTGATTTTAGATAACAGGAGTGTAACATACGCACTTAATTTATATTTCCTGATACGTACATTTTACATACTTAACTATGTTTCCCAGAAACCCTTTCACAGAAAGAGATGTAGAGATTCTTCATTCATTGTTTCAGCTGCTTAATACTGTCTTGTGTGGAGGAGTCATTGTTTACTCCTTCAGTTCTCCGTTGAAGGATTATTTTTTTCAGTTTGTTACTATGCCAAACAGTGCTGTAATTAAAAAAAGCCTTGTGCATATGCCTTTTCATACATTTTTTTGGTCTGTTCATAGCTTTGCCAGTCTATCTTTGGTATAGAAGTAAAATTGCTGAGTTATAGAATAAATGCATTTTCACTTTAAAGAGATAGATATTGCCAAGTTTCTTTCGTTAGACTTTGTACCAATTTGCATTTGCACCAGAAATGTGTGAAAGTGCCTGTTTCCTTGCAGTCTTGCCAACAGAATATACTGGCAAACATTTAGACTTTTCTAATCAGATAGGTGAACAATGTGATGTCATATATATTTCTCATTTTTTTCTTTAAGAAATAATTTAAAACTTATGGAGTTGTTGCAAGAATAGGCCATATTACCTTTTTTCCTGAGCCATTTGAGAAGTTGCTGACATGTGGCTCCATAACCCTCCATATTTAGTGCATGTTTCTTACAAATCAGGACATTCTTCAATATAAATGACAGTATAAACATTAATAACAGAAAATGAACATTGACATATTAATACCAACAAATGCTCAGACCTAGTCAAATTGCTCCAATGGTTTCTTGTTCTTTATAGGAAAGGACTTGTGAGTGCGCAATAGTGTTATTTGCAATATCTCTTTAATCTTCTTCACTTTTTCTTGGACCTTGACTCTTTGATCTGGTTATTTTGTAGAATGTCCCTCAATGTGGATTTGTTTGATGTTCCCCCATAGTTAAATTCAGGTTATGCATTTTTTAGCTGGTACGTTACAGAAATAATGCTGAGTTCTCACGGCTTCTTTTCATGTGGTACATACTTTAAATTTGTCCTATTACTACTGAAATTAGTGTGGATTACTTAATTAAATGGTGTCTGCCAGGTTTTTCTATTGTAAATTTACTTTTTTCTCTTTGTAATTAGTAGTTATTTTATTAAGAGATACTTTGAGGCTATATATCATCCTCATCAAATTTTCACCCACTAGTTCTAGTATCCATTGATGTCCCTTGGCTAGATTAAATATTGCTTCAATAATTAAATGGTGATTTTCTAATTTTATCTTTCCTTCTACATTAATGGATTGCCATTTACATCCATATTACTTCTCCATCTGTCTATTGAAAACCATCAATTTACACTGTTGCCTTCAATTCTATGGAGACCACAGAGTTCATTCTGGTTATATTTATAACTTCCTTGCCTCAGTGAGAAATCTGCCTCCTACAAGGCTCTTTATATCTAATTATTGTGTCAGTCTCACCTGGATGTAACGCATCATCAGTCACTGCTGATGTCCCCCCACACTCGCATGCTAGGACTTCAATATCTGTCACCAGGCCACTGCCATTATGGGGACCCTTTTCTTCCTACACGGGCTCTGACACCCTGCACCAAGCCATCCTTCTCAGGTTCCAACATCCACATAAGCTACCACCCTCATTCCCCCCTCACCCAGACTCCTGGATGGGTACCTATCTTGCTTAAGCCCTTATAGCTTTGGGACTAAATAAGGGAAGAAAGAAGTAAAGGAAGGCAGGAAAGCAGGAAGGAAAGAAGGAAGAAATTTTCACTTTTCTTATTATGAGTAAGAATGAGCACCTTTTCAAATGTTTAACATGCTCCTTACAATTTCTGTGTGTATGTGTGTGGTGGAGGGGGGACTATCTGTTAACATCTTCTATCAATTTTGCTATACATCTCTTTTTTTTAAAAGGAATTCTATGTATTAGGAATATTAATCTTTGTCTATACTTTAAGTTTCAAACATGTTTTCTGAAATTCTCATTCATTATTTCTTTCTTTCTTTATTTTTTTTTGCCTCACAAAGGTTTTTTATTTATTTTTGTAATTGAATGTATTGCCTTTTTCTTTATTGTTTCTGGATTTTTAAATCAATGTTGAAGAATAACTTCTTAAAAAGTGCTCTGCTGAAACCGGTTTGGCTCAGTGGATAGAGCGTCTGTCTGTGGACTAAAAGGTCCCAGGTTCGATTCCGGTCAAGGGCATGTACCTGGGTTGCGGGCACATCCCCAGTAGGAGATGTGCAGGAGGCAGCTGATAGATGTTTCTCTCTCATCGATGTTTCTAACTCTCTATCTCTCTCCCTTCCTCTCTGTAAAAAATCAATAAAATATATTTTTTTAAAAAAAGTGCTCTGATTGCTTTCTTAATTGGTTTCTAATTTAGGCAGACGTTGGACTATGTTTTTGTGGGAAAAAGAACTGACTCGACTCTGTCTTCTCACACTTTCAGCTGGAGTCGAAGAGCTGGAATCACGCTTTCTCGTCCCCGGAGATCTATTAATTTTGACAGGGAACAGAGTGCAAATGCCATGTGATGCCATTCTGCTTGACGGCAGCTGTGTGGTGAATGAAGGCATGCTGACAGGTGTGGTTCTGTCTCCGTCTTCAGCTTCCCCAGTGCTCCCAGGCTCCTGTACCTGAATGACAAGGGCAAAGTGTGGGGCAGCTGTGGGCCCTCCCCATCCCCACAAATCTCATGAGCAGTTCTGCCCTGGATGTATCCGAGAGTTCAATTCAAAGCTGCTTTCTGTGTACTGATTTTCATAAGGCGGTCACTTTTTGAGCCCTGAGCATTTCCTTCTTGAACCAAGGGTTCTTACAACCCTGTCATTTACTTTAAAATATTGTAGAGATCATTAGACGTTTCAGAATTATCTGTGGTTCTTATATTTAGTATTTTTATATAAAATGTTTCTTCAGATAAACTTGGAGGGTTTAAAAACATTTAAGCACATCCTGAAACCCACCAGACTTAAGTGCAAGCTCTTCTGAGCTTGGCTTGAAAATGTTGAAAAAGTTCATGATGCAGGACTTGGCAAACCTGGGTATTTGGGACTAACTGGAGTTCGTTTGTAAATAGCATGCTGGAGCTGGGCAGGTCCCTAGAGGTCATTGCATCTCATTGATAAGAAAACTGAGGTCCAGAGAGGAGAAGAAACTTGCTCAAGGTCGCAGTGCTTTGGATTCTCACTCACATATGCAGAGTCACATATGGACACACAGAGGTGGTGTGTCAATATTTCTGTCAGATAAAGAAGAATCATAAAGTCTTTCGGAGACTAAACGGGAGGCTGCGAATACACACTGACATCCTTGGTTCCCATTAAAGTCCAAGTCAAATCCATTTGTCAGGAAGGCCTGAAATGGAAACGAACACACACCTCATTCCTATGTGAAATAACTGAAACAAACAAAAAAAGCAAAGAAAACATGGCAGGTCTGTTTCCTTTTCCTAAGGAATCCATACATTTATAAACACCCCTTAGTGCTCAGACTTTTGCAATGCCAAGTGGCCCTAGAACACAGGAACATGTGTCTGACTTTATACTGCGCACTCAGCATCACCAGTGGAAGTTTTACAAGCTTTGTTCCTCAGAAGCCATCACTACTTTCACAACTTCATTTACCTCCCGTGTTTGCACTTCAACCCACTGCAACCTGCCACTCTCCCTTCACTGGCCAAAGTCACTAATGTATCAATTGCCAAATCCAATGGATTCTTTAAAAAAATTTATATATATAAATGATTTCAGAGAGGAAGGAAGAGGGAGAGAGAAAAAAACATCAATGATGAGGAGAATCATTGATCAGCTGCCTCCTGCACATCCTCCACTGGGGATTGAACTCATAACCTGGGCATGTCCCCTGACAAGGAATTGAACCATGACCTCTTGGTTTATAGGTCAATGCTCAACCACTGAGCCATGCTGGCAGGATCCAATGGATTCTTTAAATTTCTCTTTTTATTGACCTCTCTGCTGGTTTTGACTATTCTCACCATCTCTTTCTTCTGAAAATTCTCTTTTCCCTAACTTTCCAAGGCAACGCTGTCTCTCTGAGTTCTTCTACCACCAACCAAGCCAGTCAGCTTCTTGTGCTGTTCCTCTTCCCCCATCTCTTTGATTGTTGCTGCTATGTCCTGGTCCTTTTCTCTTCTTACCTTACACTCAGTCCCTTAGAGGTCTTCTCATCACCTTCATATCACCTCTAAGGTGATGAACTCTGACTAAAATCTTCCTTTAACCCTCTCCTCTGAGCTCTAGACCCAAATAAGTTTCTAACCAGCTACAAGACATCTCAACATGGTTGTTACACAGGCCTCTACAACTCAAGGTGATCAAAGGCAATTCCTCCTTCCTCCTATAATTCCTATATTGATAAGTAATAGCACCCTCTGCTCATTCTCCAAAGTCAGACACCAGGAAGCCACTTTCAATTCCTCTGTCCCTCCAAACTGCCAATATAAAAATACTAGAGGCCTGGTGAATGAAATTCGTGCACTCAGTTGGGTGGTCCCTCAGCCCAGCCTATGCTCTCTTGCAGTCCAGGAGCCCTTGGGGGAGTGGGCCTAAGCGGTCAGTCAGACATCCTTAGTGCCCCTGTAGAGGCGGGAGAGGCTCCCATCACCACCACTGCATTCGCCAGCCATGAGCTTGGCTTCTGGTTGAGCGGTGCTCCCCCTGTGGGAGTGCACTGACCACCAGGGGGAAGCTCCTGCATTGAGCAGGATGGGGCTGAAACTGGCTCTCCGACATCCCCCAAGGGGTCCTGGATTGCAAGAGGGCACAAGCTAGGCCAAGGGACCCCACTGGTGCATGATCAGGGCCAGGGAGAGATGCGAAAGGTTGGCCAGCCAGGAAGAGACTTTGAGAGGGCTCCAGGGTGTGTCCAGCCCATCTCACTCAGTCCTGATCAGCCGGAACCCAGCAGTAAGCTAACCACAGGTAAGAGCATCTGCCCCCAGGTGGTCAGTTCACATCATACCAAGCAGTTGAGTGGCCTTAGCATATCATTAGCATATTACACTTTGATTGGTTGAATTGATGACCAGATGACCAGACACAGCATATTAGGCTTTTATTATATAGGATTTCCCAAGTTTTGTAGCTTCTTACTTCCTTATTTCTCAAATCCAGCACTTCCTTTCTACTCCCACTGCCAACTGCCATATTTCAAACCTCAGGTTCTCCAGTGGGGATTCTTGTGATCATTTTCCAACTCAATGTCCAGCCTCTAATCTAATAAAACAATTAAACATCTCCGCATTCCCTTTCTGCCAGTAGAGCCTATGGAAACACACACACACACACACACACACACACACACACACACACACACACCAGAATGAAACATGCACTTAGGGCCCTTCATAGGTCTCATGGCCCTTTATTCCCAATACCCCCACATTCTAAACTGCACATTTTGGTATTCCCTACATGGTTATTTCCTGCCTATTTCAGCCTCCATGTTTGGTTTTCTAGTACTCACAGTAATTATAACATGGCATTATATTTGTTTGTTATATGTCTGTATTCCTCTCCGGACTATGGACCTCTTAAATAAGCACTATGTTTCCCCTTGTATTTCCTGTGTCTAGGGTTGTCCCTGCCCCATGGCAGGCTCCCAACGAACATCTACTATAGGATATGTCTGTGCACACATGATTTAGATGAGTGAGGGCATCTTGCCTCACAAATTGCATGGCTTGTTTTCTGTAGGAGAAAGTATCCCAGTCACTAAGACTCCATTACCTAAGGTGGATGGCTCTGTGCCCTGGAAAACACAGAGTGAAGCGGATTACAAACGGCACATCCTCTTCTGTGGCACAGAGGTTATCCAGGCCAAGGGCGCTTGCTCCAGGACTGTGAGAGCCGTGGTACTGCAGACTGGTTAGTCAGCATCTCTTCCTTCCATTTTGTTATTTTAATTACATGCTGTTGTTCAGTTTATTTAATGTCTAATTTATTAGGTATGGAGCAGTCTTTAGATAACAAACCAACTATACTAAATTTATATATTTTAAATGTGAATTGAACTATGGCATACACCTTTTAATAATAATAGTACTGATGATCATATTACTATTTATGTGCTTTGTAGTTTATAAACTACTTGCATATATAGTACTTGCAAAACAAAGACGCCTACATGAATCATCTGGGACCTACACAACTCAAGCAGGCTTTCACAAACCATACAGCCAGGAACTGGCTGAGCTAGACCCAGAACTCAGGTCTTTTAACCTCAAATCCTGAGTTCTTTCTAGGCAGGACTAGAAACAGTAAATTTGACATCCAAAAGTAATAGAAATTGAATTCGTCAGTATTTACTGGGCCAGTTAGTTTAAATTCAAGTGACGTGTGTGTGTGTGTGTGTGTGTGTGTGTGTGTGTGTGTGAAAGAGAGAGAGTGAGTATGTGTGTGTGTGTGCATGCATTCTCACGAGTCGTTTCCTTAAAAGGAAGCTGCCTTTGGAAAAGCTGTGCTCTGCCCCTAGTATAGTGCTTCCCTGTCTCTGGGATGCATGGAATTGAAAGTAGAGGGAAGGAAGGTCAGAGTAATAGGCTCTGAAATAGATAAGGTATTTCCATCCTAGCACTTACATATTTTCCAATTATCCTTTAATTGCACTTGGGTTTAAACGCCGTTTAAATGTCTCTAGAGAAGACAAAGGCAATGTTGGATTGAGCTTGGAAGAGCACCAGCGTAGGATTTGTCATCCTGAGAGGGTGGGGTGTGTGTTTATTGCTCAGGATTCAACACTGCAAAGGGGGACCTCGTGAGATCCATCTTGTATCCCAAGCCAATGAACTTCAAGCTCTACAGGGATGCCATCAGGTTCCTCCTGTGCCTCGTAGCGACCGCCACCATTGGGATGATCTATACTTTATGTGTCTACGTGCTCAGCGGGGTAAGCTGCCTTTGTTGCAGACAAACACACACTCACCCATGTCTGTTTTATACTCTACATGTTGACCTTAATCTAGGGATTACAAACATGGAAAACAAAGCACTGAAACTGACCTATGTACTCCCAGGCTCTCCAACATAAGCAATTGATCACCAAGGTCCATAATAACAATTCAATCTAATGGGATAAAACATTTTGCTTATTGAGATATCAGCATGCTTCTACTTTTGCACAATATTTCCTTATATTATTTTCAATCTGAGAATATATTTATTGCAATAACGTAATATTTAGTAGCTATGAAATAAAAAATTTTAATCAGAACGCAGATATTCAATGTTGGTGAGGGCACATGGAAAATTGTCCCATGGTTGCCTGCTGGTAGCATATGAATTATTACAAGCCTTTTTCATTGCACTTTGGCAAAATGTATTGAGAACTAAAATATGTTTGTACCCTGTGACCCATGCTTGACTTGCTTATTTCTAGAAATTTAATCTAGATAAATAAACAAAAAGAAGGAAAAAGTCATTTGCACAAAGCTTTTTGTGATCGGTTTATTTGTGATAGTGACAGTGAGGTATCTTCCAGGAAGCTCCCGGGGAGGTGGTGAGGAAAGCCCTGGATGTCATCACAATTGCAGTTCCTCCTGCTCTACCTGCCGCCCTGACCACAGGCATTATCTATGCCCAGAAGAGGCTAAAGAAGAGAGGCATCTTTTGCATCAGTCCCCAGAGGATCAATGTATGTGGGCAATTAAACCTTGTCTGCTTTGACAAGGTATGTGTGTTTCATCTTCATTCTCACCCCCATTGTAATCATCATTGTCATCCTGTATAAGCGTGCTACACTCTCATGAGTCAGGAAACAGGATGTGGGTATCGGACTTCACTTTATCCCTGGTTGGCTGTGTGACCCAGGAAAGAAACATCTCGTGAGCCCTCAGATTATAGAGAAGGGACAGTAGTTACTGGATTAGAGAATCTTTTAGGATCCTTCCATCTACAATGGTCTATGAAACACAATTAATTAAAATAGCATTCTGTCTATCACCCAAACCCCCAGAGAATAAAATTTAAATCTTTTACTGTGATTACTATTGTATCCCTAATGTTAAGAATATTGCTTGGCATAGTCAGTATTCAATAAATGCTTATTGAATGAATGAGTGAGTGAATGAATGAATGAACGAATGAAAAAGGAAGACTTTATTTAAAGTTATCCTTGATTATATGGCAGTTACTCCCAGCCAGCTTCTTATTCTACCTTCTCTTGAAGGTATTCTTCTAGTCTGTATACACATATGCTGGAGTAAAGATGGAAGCTGTGAGAGGGTGGAATTGAAAGGTGGTTTTGTGCCTGGGTTTTAATTTATAAGGTGACTGAGTGATGACAGGGAAAGGTCAATGTTATTCACATTCCCTCTGGAAGGAAGATGCATAGCTCACCAGGCAAGGTCACAGGAAGCATGCCAGGTTTGGATCAGGAAGCAAAGCAGGAGTGAGGGGAGTGCTTAGGCCCTCATCCTTTATTGGGGTTTATTGGGGTGGCCTTTATTGGGGTTTTTGCAGGAAATGCAAGACAAGGCAGGGTAAACAACCCATGATTGGCTAGTTTGAGTGGTTCTGGTGAGCTTTAGGGTGTAGAGATGCTCCTTAGTTGTCTGATACCTGGCCCTGGGATGAGTAAGGAAGAGGAATATTGTCTCCTGGGGAGGGTGACAGAGAGAGGAGAGGCTTGGCTACCCAATGGCTAGTTTGCATAGCAAATATGTGCTCTTGCCTGAGTTCCATGCTGTCTCTTCTACTAGTAATTGCCAGCCCCAGGGAGGTAGTCTCTTTTCAGCTAGAAATATTTTTTTAGATGTCAAACACTACAAAAATACTTAAAATATGTACAAGACAAAGCTATTATAAGCAGGAGATTATAGGCAAAGGCATAGAGTCTGAAGAGCAATAAAATGTGTTTTGATCAGAGCAGGACATTAGTAATGGGAGAGGGTGTTATAAACCTTGAATGTCTGGCTAAGAAATATTTCTTTAGGCAGTGGGAAGCCATTGAAGGTTTTTATTTTTTATTGTTGCCTTTCCTTTTCTTATTCTTTTTATTGTGGTAAAATATACATAATATAAAATTTACCATTTTAACCTTCTTAAGTGGCTTTAAGTGCATTCAAATTATTATGCAACCATCACCACCACCCATCTCCAGAATTGTATTCACCGTCCCAAACATAAATCTGTGCCCAATAAACAGTACATTGAAGGTTTTTGATAGCAGAAAATTAATGAGATGGGAGCTATATTATCTAATTGTTGAACTATCAAGCTATCTACCAAGAACAAAAGGTTAATGTGGCTCTTGCTACTATTTCAGCATTATTTTGTGATCAAACTAGAATTATAAGGAAAGATGTTCTATTTATGAAATCATATTATCCTTGGACTTGGAAAAAGAAATGGGGTGGGAAGATAATTGTGACAAGAATTTGAATGTTAAATAAATAATTATTATGAGTAATTATCGTTATTATCAGCTCTTACTCTATGCCAGACATTAAATTAAGCACTTTATTGTATTATCTCATTTAATCTTCATAACAACTTTATATGATTATAACCATGTTACAGGCAAGGGCTCTGATGTTTAGAGAAATTCAGTAATTTGCCTAGATCACACAGCTGGTCTTTTAACCCAGATAAACTCTTCATCATTACACTACACCGAGAAAAGTACCAACAAGCACCTTTTAACTAAGTATGTGTCAAATAACAAACCATTTCTTTAGGACAATAGAAAATTCTCCTACTCTCATTACTTATTTCTGATGACACACTTTTAACTTCTGCAATAAGAACTGGGATTCACCATTTTTTAGCTCTTGTAGGCTTACCAAGAACTTTGCCATCTGTTTAATCTGGCCTTAGAATCTCTGAACAAGCCTCTGAAATATGTAAGGCAGGTCCGGCTTTCTTTCTTTTATTGCTGAGATCACTAAAGTGCAAAGAGATTAAGTGCTTGCTGGTCATACAACTGGGATGAGTTCATCCAAGCTTCCCCCAGGAGTCCCGATACCCACCTCACTGTGTTCTTGCTGGAAGTACTGATCTCCATAAAATTTTGTGGCATATGTTATTCCATTAAGACGAACCTTATTCATCGTTGCAATGGGGAGCTAGATCTTCAGAGTAAACTGAGTGCTTGTTTCTGTTTAGACAGGCACCTTGACAAGGGAGGGCTTGGATGTCTGGGGAGTCGTGCCCTGCGGTAAGAATGGGTGAGTACTGTCCACATAAAAGCATCCACACCTGTAGAGAACTTTCACAAGTGGTGACTTGAGCCAAAACTGACAACAGTTGCTGGCAAGCAAGACCTCAAGAGCTCTGGAGAATGACAGTTTTGCAGTTTCTTTTATGCATTTGAAATTAAGGAGGGAAGTGCATAAAGGTGGACAAAAGCCACCTGTGAGGTGACTTTCCATAGAATCCCTTTATCACACACAGTACCTTGGACTAAATGCACTGAAGTTTTTCTTTTCCTGGAACTCTGTTTTCCTAGGAAAATTAACAATAGAGACAATTTAGCTTTGGCTTTGGTGAGCAGTGGTTGACAGCATAGCTTCATTTAACTGCTGCTTCTTAATGGTTCCACTAATATTTTGAGCTAAAACCCATGTTTGCCCCTGTCCCAACCCCTGCCGCATGCCGCACACAAACCCAGGAGATGAAGAAGAAGTTTTGACACTGCATTCAAATCCTTGCTAAAGTGTACTTTGCAGTCAGCGTATTCGTCAGGGGACTGAAGTTGGCCCAGTGTACCTCGTTTGGACAATACGAAGACACTCTCCTTCAAAGCCTTCTTCTGTGCCCGGAGGAAGGACACCATGTTCACCTTTGTACAATGAATTTCAGTAAAAGGAACGTCCGTGGAGCTGGGGCCAGTGTACTCATGTTCCTTGGTATTCTAGTTCTGAGAATTCCACGTTTTGGCTGCCCCGTAACTCCTCAGATTTGGGCAGTTTTCAGCTCCAAGCGGGGATTTGCATAACCTTTCCTGAGGCCCCCTGGCGGCCATGCCTGGGGTTACTTCTCTTCCAGCTTTTCTCTGCTATTTCCAGTGTGAACAAAAAACATTCGACATTCCCCCCCCCCCTTTTTTTAAATGAAGGTATTTCTCACTTACAAACTAAATCTCAAAGCATTTTAGTCATAAAAGGTTCATAGCAGTTCTTCTGCATTATGCAGACGACATACAATTTATCCACAAAATATTTTAATTATAGGTGTGTAATACATTTTTATATTAAAACATGAATATAAAGTGTTTATAAACAAGTCTGTTTCCTGGGTTAAAGAAATTGATCTTGGTACTTGGTCTACAGAAGAAGCCTCTTATTAGTATAAATTTTTGAAGTTCTTTTTATTTTCCTTGAAGATAGATTTGGATATATGCCTGGACTCCTTGTTCATTAATATTTTTCTGTTTCAGCTTCAACAAAAAGTGTATGCATTTATTAAAATGTGTGAACATCTTGAGAGCAGTATTTTTATTATTTATATTTGTGTTCCTTATGCTGTAGCACTATACCAGGTGCACAAATAGATGCATAGTATATGTTTGTTCATCCAAAACTAACTAAATGCGTTCCACCTTTTGAATGCTATTCTACCTATTGAATTGACATCAAACTTATTTATTAAGCTTTTTATTTCTAAATAAAACTTGTCAAATTTAAATAAAAATAATTCATATAATATTTAAGCTATTGATTAATAAGCCCATTACTCTTTATTCCCACCTTCCTTCAAAAAGGTGAAAGGTGGTTTCAAATGACTTAAATAACAATTTAAAATTACACAAAATTACCAACTTTAATTCATAAAATGAGAGAAAGCAGATTCAATCCTAGGTAAGAAGTTAACCCCTAACTTATAGTCTATTAAATGTCGTCTAATAAAAGATGAGTCATAATAAGTCTTAGCTTTTCCAAAAAGGGCTGGATACTTAAAGAACTTTTGGCACACTACCTGAGCTATCTGAGTTTGAAAATCTCAAGCATTCAAATAAAAGTACAAAGACAGAGATAAGAGAAGAGTTCTATTTATTTGTTGTGTAAACCAGAGTCTGGCCCAATCTCAGGAATTCAGAATTACATACTGATGACAATGCGTGTGCCATATGAAAAATAAGATTTCATTTTCCCTGATTTGTGTGAGCTTAAGCGTCCACGTTGATCACACTGCTGGTGGCTTCTTCCTTTTACATGTTTACCAAAATGCCAGGGGTCTGTTGTAAACTGCTAAGATAACTTAATCCTCTGATATATAATAATAGTTATGATCAACAGGGTCAGTAATCACTGGAGAGGTTTTGAACTCTTAGAGAAGCTTGGATGAGGAAGCCAATAAGAAATATGGCTGGATTATGAGTTAACATTGTGATGTGGAGACTTTTGAAAACAAAAGGCTAGAGCAACCTAAGGCATTAAAGAAATGCAGTGTCCATATCATGAGAAGTAATAATATGATCTTCAAGACCACATTTTAATCAAACTATGACAAATAAAAACTTAAGAAAGTAACTAGAAAGGTGAGTGGTCTGCAAACTGTATTAAAGGCACAGCGCAAGGTTCCTCTGTAAACTCAGAGGAAGGGAGGGTTTACACAGGAACCTCTAGCTGAGCTGGTCCACAGAAGTTGGAGCACAGGTAGACTCTGACTGACTCCAAGAAGCATGTTTTGCCTCAATGTTCAGGAAGCACTTTCTGCTATCAGAAGTCCTCCTAGGATGAGTTGCTCAATGAACCATCTACGGTGCTACACATTTAAGAAGGGACTGACAACAAGGTTGCAGAAGACAGTCCTCTAATGGGCCAGAGTCTGAACTTGATGACTTCAACCCTGAATTACTGACAGCACACTGCACCTGACATTGCAGTTGTATCTCAGCAGATTTTAGATGAAGCCACTTTCTATAGGAAGTGATGGTGACGATGACTGCAATAGGATACACTAAATGCCAGGGTGGAAGAGAGGGATGCAGTATCCCTTTAAAAATAGTTTTAGGTTATATTTCTTTACCATTATGCTCTTCAGATCTTCAGTAGCTACTCATTCATTTATTCACTCATGCATTTGTTTTCTGTCTAATATTGGCCAAACATGTTGGAGAGATACAGAAGGCATAGCCCTGCCCCAAAGGATTAAGGAAGGAGATACACAAATAGCCATAGCATGAGCAAAGCTGTTCTGCCTCACGGCGTTGGAAATGAAGTGGTCTGAGAGTTTGAGCAGGAGTGGATGTACTTAGAATTAAAAGTGATACTTCTAGTTCCTTTCATTCCTCTGGAATTAAATCCATACCAGAGAAAGAGTAAGGGAAAGACCTTGAATGACCTTTCTCATTTTCACTGAACTCTTGTAAGGATGATGGCTAAATGAAGCACTATTAATTTGGGGTGGCTGGAGAGTGGGTATATAATGTAACAAAACACATTAAATTACTTTCCAAAAAGTCACCTCTGGAAGCTCCATTTTGGATGGAGAATTGGGCTGAAGCCCTTTCCCTTTTCTCCTTTAGCTTCCAGGAGGTCCACAGCTTTGCCTCGGGCAGGGCTTTGCCATGGGGCCCACTGTGTGCAGCCATGGCCAGCTGCCACTCTCTGATCCTTCTCGATGAGACCATCCAGGGAGACCCTCTGGACCTCAAAATGTTTGAAGCCACCAACTGGGTAAGCCTCTGACCTGCAGAGAATCTAAGAAGCTTCTTCAATGCAAGAGAAACACAGGTTTTATCACTGATAGTCAATACTTGTAAGATGTGAAGTCTTCAATAACGGAGGACATAGAGCAGTGAGAGACAGACCATTGTATCTTCATGGTGGGGTTATTGTGATTAAATAAAATTATGCCCTTAAAAAATTCTGGTACATATCACAGGCTCAATTGCATGAATGTAATTAGAATTATTATGCAATTTTAGTTTATTATTTCCAAATTTCAGGTTGTAGTATGAGCAATGTCTTGTTTCAAAGTTTTCTAGAACATGGGGATGAGGGAACATCACTGCCCCCCAAGCTTAGGATAACTCATTGCTATCAGGAGTTTATTTTTATTCATATTATATTGGTTTTGTTTCTAAGCCTAGAAATAGTAAAAAGGGCAACATGAGCGCTTTCACTGAGACTCTAAGGTAGGTTTAAGAGCAAGGGGTGGTGTTCAGGAAGAGGAATCTGGCTTTCCCAGTTCCAGTTTTGGCTCTGCTCTAGCTGAGCACTTGACCCTGTGAAGTTATCTCTCTTGTTGGGGCTACGTTCCTACGACCTTAAAATGAAGGGATTGAAGTAGACCAGCAGTGTTTACATAAAATGACACAAAAAGAACCACACCTGAAATATTTTCTTAAAAGGAAACATCATTTAGATGCACTTTATAAAAAACAAATAGTCGGAGTGGCTGTGGTTGAGATGGGAGTAAAGGTAAAGCTTAGGGAACACAAGGCCCCGCCTTACTCAGCCACAAGCCCACCACGCCTGTCCCCTGTAGCCAGGTCCCTGTAGCAGCTCTGGGCCCCTATGATACATGTGTGAGCCCCACCGAAGGAGACAATCCTTACGGTCCTTTTCATGGTTCTGTAGTGGTTTGATAGGACGTTGTTAATCTTACCCTTTCTGGGTTACAGTTTCTGTATTTTTCAGTAGGGATTACATTTTCCTCTCTTAGATTTTTTTCAGCCACTCAATGAGATGGTTGCAAAGCATTTTGACATCTTTGATAAAAGGCTCTTGTGACTGTGATTTAGGGTCATCATTACAGCAATTACTGAGCCTTTACTGACCATCAACCATGTACCGGTACCTCACAGTCCCTGCCATACCTCACTGTGAGGACCATCAATTCAAATTAGACGGAAAGGGAAGAGCAGGAATGACAGTGAACTCCAGGATGAAAGAAGACAGTAAGGGGCTCGCCTCACACACAAATAAGTCTGGCTATCCATGCTCACTATTTTTGAGTCAAGCTCTTCAGAAATGGAGACTGAGACCTTTACACAGCATGCTCCAACAGAGAAAGCAGGATAAATTGCATGAATAATTCAGAAGTGTTTGCCCTTGAAGTTCCGCAGCATTTTCAATGCGTTTTTTTTTCTTCCCTGTGATGAAATAAGACTGGTTCACCTCCATCTAGCCAAGGGAGGAGAACCGAGAAAACATTGAGGTGGTCTCAGGATTTTCTCAAGACGAGGGTTTGAGCATCGTATCAATAAATCTCTACAACAAAAAATATTCCATTTGTGAAATAGGAAATGGCTATTTCTGGGGACAATTTCCACATCAAGGAAGTGCCGGCACACGCCATGGTAGTTAAGCCCAGCAAAACAGCCAGCCAGGTAAGCTTCATCTGCTATCCACTCTGAAATACCCAACCTCAAGGGGAAATTCCCGTTAGGCCCACACTTTTGAAAGGTCATAGATGTGTCTTCTATGACATGAGAAAACTGATGGAAACTTGTGTCTCTTATTTGCTAAAAACAGGATTGGGGGAGGAATAATTAATTCCCAATAGGTGGAAGCTATGTTGGTGTGTCCTTCTCCATTCCCCACCCCTCAACCAGGTCCCAGTGGAAGGAATTGCAATCCTGCATCAGTTCCCATTCTCATCAGCCCTACAGAGGATGACAGTCATTGTCCAAGAGATGGGGGGTGACCGGTTGGCATTCATGAAAGGTGCACCAGAGAAGGTGGCCAGCTTTTGTCAACCTGAGACAGGTAAGTGAACAGACTTGTACTACAGCTGGCTAATTTATATTTCCAGTCCAAATATGTCCCCTGAGCACTTGACCTATGAATCTAATTGCCTATTGATCATTGCCAATAGGATGACTCATCTACATGCCAAACTCAATACCAAAATCAAGATTATCTTTCTCACTTCCTATATTTCCCATCTTGGTGAATGACACTACCATTCTCCTTCTCCCCCAATTTGAGGTTCTTCCCAGATTTGTCCCTCTCCCTCAGTGCTTCTGTCTTGGCAATTGCTAACCCATAGTCCTATCACTCCATCAGCTCAGGCCCTCATCTTCCCTCCACTGGATCACTTCAACAGTTGGTGAATTGACCCCTGCTCCCAGTCACTCCTACCCTGATTCATCCTTTATACTCTGACTAGATTGGGTTTTCCATCACCAAATATAACTATGTTGTCACTTTCCACTTTTCTTCTGTTGGTTGTTTCCCATAGACTCCAGGAATAATCTCAAATTCCTTTAAGATATTATATAAGGCCTTCATGATCTGACTCCTATTAAACTTTCCAAATACATCTTACCACTCCTATCCTCACATCCTACGCTTTTCCCGAGCTGAACTAACTACTGAAGGCTGTTTGTCTCATGTGTTCATCCCTAAGCACATGGTCCTCCCTCAACCAAAATGTCCTTTCCTTTCCTTCATCTAACCACTTCCTCCCAGACTTGTATATGTGTGTCTAAGTGATTCCATAGCATAGCACACTGCAATTACTTGGGTCATAGAAATGATTTCATTTGATTACATTGTTAGTCTACTATTTGATACCTTAATAAACAGAGATCCTGCAGTTTAATCTCTGCAGAGCCAATTCCTGGCACATAGCAGACTGTCAGTAAATGTTAGTTAAACTGTAGAAATAAAGAATTATACATATTTCTCACCCTTTATTTTTCTTCTTGTTCTTCTTCTTTGTCTCCGTTTTCATCTTCATCTTCTTCTTTCTTTAAATGTTTCCTTTTCAGTTCAGCTTCACTGAATACCAAAAGGTCATTCTTGACAATGTAGTTATTTTTAGGGTGGGTTCCCACTGACTTATTGTGTACCTTTTTAGAAATGTGGTGGTATTGTTTGTTTGTTTGTTTTGTGTTTGTTTGTTTTTTTCAAGAACTAGGTCTGTTTCTCTACCAGTACCAACTGAGTAGTAAATGTTGCCTACTAATCTTGTGTCATTTTCTGAACAGTGCCAGCTAGTTTTGTTAGTGAACTTCAGATTTACACAACACAGGGCTTCCGGGTCATAGCACTGGCCTACAAAAAGCTGGAAATGGACCACCACACCACTGCCTTGACGAGGTGAGTGGGGAGGATTCTCACAAAGCAGGATGATTGGGTGGGAAGATGCACCAGGCTGGGCAGTAGACTCAGCAACATAGATTGAAGGATTCATGGGCATGAAATGCTTCTGAACTTAGTAGACAGGGATGTAGTCATCTCTACTCTGTCTGAATCACAAAGCTGATGACTGGGAGAATTTATGAGAAAGAGCTGTATACACTGTGAAATAGGATGTGGTTGTACAGCTTTGTGAAAACACATATATGATTATAAGCAATGTTTCATAGTGTGAAATTAAGGTCATGTCCTCATTTTGAACCAAATACAAGTAGCTAATTTTTAAAATTATAGTTGGTGAATTAGTTGAAAGTTAGAAAACATAACATTTTAAAAATATCTTGATAAGAAATACACAACTTAATGAAAAACATATAGCTTAGACTTGTATAAATTAAGTAATGTCTGTAGAAAAACAAGAAAAAGCTTCAGGGTGGCCATTATAGAGAAAGCTTTGATATAATTAGATTAAAATAGGGATCCCCAAGGACTAAAATGAACTCCGAGTTTAATTTTATCTGTTGTTTTATTTTCCACTGTTTTTAGACTATTGTGTTTATTTCACCTTCAATGCCATGTCCAGTACTCTTTCCAGCCATTATTGTAACACTACTATGGAGATAATCATGGCTTATTTTGTTACTAAGGATTTTAAATTTGGGAAGTCTAACATATTTGTTTTCAACCCTGTCAGGCTCAACAACACTCTCTTATTGCAACTATATTTTGTACCACTTCTTATATATTAAAATAAATTCATATGTATATAATCTGCACATATTCTTTGTAAGAATAAACATGATTCCATCCTATACAGTAAAAATAAAAGCAAAAAATACAATGTATTACAAAAGTAACAGACAACTCAATAAAGCTCAGCTGACTCCACTAAAATAAAATAAAGCAATATGTTGCTTGCACCGTGTGTAGGATCATGGGGCTAGCAATGCAGACTGATACAGGTGTTATACACTGCAGTCTCAAATAGCACCAGCAGTCTTGCTGTGAAATGCTTTAAAACTCTTGGTAAAATCCTGAATAAAACAGTACAATCTCCTTTCAACTTACACAGTACTTACATTACTGGAAAATTCAATAGAATATTAAAAATGTGCAAACTTACTTTGTGCTTATATATAAAGCAGAGCTATGGGAACTATAAACAATTTTGTTTATTTATCATAATATAGTTGTATTATATATACTATGATATACCATGCTATGTGGTATAATATAAGCAGGATAAGCTTATACTGACTTAGGAAAGTATAAACAATCTTTTAGTGTCATGAATGCCCTGTAAAATATTTAAAGGGCACCTGGGATGCAAGGTAATTATTCATGTGCATTGGTCATTGCAGAAAATCTTGCATAAATGTCTTAAAAGTTTCCAAACTGTCCTCTAGAGGCAGTAGTGCCCCTGCTGAGAATCACAGCTGTGTCCTAACCCTGTCGTTTTGTGATTGGGCAGAGAGGCCCAGAGGCAGAAGTGACTCATCTAAAGTCATTCAGAAAGGATATATGCACCCCTATGTTCATAGCAGCACAATTCACCATAGCTAAGATCTGGAAACAACCTAAGTGCCCATCAGTAGATGAATGGATTAGAAAACTGTGGTACATCTACACGATGGAATACTATGCTGCTCTAAAAAGGAAGGAACTCTTACCATTTGCAACGTCATGGATGGAACTGGAGAGCATTATGCTAAGTGAAATAAGCCAGTCAATGAAGGAAAAATACCACATGATCTCACTCATTCATGGATAATAGAGACCATTATAAACTTTTGAACAATAATAGATACAGAGGCAGAGCTGCCTCAAACAGATTGTCAAACTGCAGCAGGAAGGCCGGGGAGGGTTGCGGGGCAGGAGGTAGGGGGGTAAGAGATCAACTAAAGGACTTGTATGCATGCATATAAGCATAACCAGTGGACATAAGACATTGGGGGGTAGGGGAGGCTAGGGGACTGTCTAGGGCGGGGGGATAAAATGGACACATATGTAATACCCTTTGTAATACTTTAAGCAATAAAAAAAAAAAAAAAAAAGAAAAAAAATAAAAAGAAAAATAAAGTCATTGAGTATTAGATTCCTGGGCATATTGGGTCACTCTCCTCAAGGCCAGCTTAATGTGACCCTTAGCCAAAGGGTCACTTTGACTATTGCAACTCTAAGTATTTGTTGTAATTTAATCAAATCAGGTCACTCAAATCATTGGTCAGAGACCTGAAGTGAACTTTGAGATCAGATCTCACATTTTAAAGAAGAGGAAAGTTGAGCCCAGGATGTGGCAGAATTGGGAATGGAATTTTGTTTCCTGGGATCCTGTCGACAGATATATACCAAGATTCTGGATACTATGCTGTTGCTTCTGATTATTATAATAAAATATGTGCATATCTACAAGTTTCAAACTCATGGCTTTGGGGCTTGTATATGCAACAAAGACTGATGGTGGAGGTGGAGACACATAAACAATAGGGAATGGTGAGGGCTACAGCACACAGGAGAGTACATGCCCTGGCCAACAGTATTGAAATTCCAACGTTTCAAAATTTGATAAGGTCCAAACACAAATTCACTAATTCAGTCTGATCTTGGGTCATCAATTTTCCCTTCCTGCGTTAAAGCCACATCAGCACTACATCTTTTCCTAGCTAGGTTAATTTACCCAATCTTTGCTAATGCCTGATTGAATAGAACTTTTTCTTTCTGTGGTGTTTGTGTGTATGTTTGTATGTTTGCTCAGAGTACTTCCAGAATAGGTATCATAATTTCTTTGAGGGTTCTTGGCCTGCCTTGTGCATATTTCATCCTTTAAAAATCACATGGATTTTAAGAACATGAAGCATAGTCACAAGGATGACAATGCTCCTTTTGTATTACATTCTTTATTCTTTATTATTTTTAGACTAGAGGCCTGGTGCATGAAAATTGGGGGGGGGGTCCCTCAGCCCAGCCTGCCCCTCTCACAGTCTGGGAGCCCTCAGGGGCAGGAGGCGACCTGGTGATCAGAGGAAGCGATGCCCCCATCACACCTCTGCTGCTGCCACTTCTGGCAGCACAAGCCTCAGCCAGCCCTGGTTACCTGAGCCTCGGGTGGCTCTGGGTGGCTGGGGTGCTGAGAGGACTGGGGGACTCTGGAGGCAGGTGTGTGGTAAGGCCGGGCCCACTTGGTGCATGCCTGCCACCCTGGTGGGGATAGGGGACTGGGCTGCCATCTTTTGGCTGTGGGCACCACCATCTTTGAGGCATGGCAGTCAATTAGCATATTCCATCTTTATTAGATAGGATGCTTTGGGAGGAGGTATAGTCTATGCAGGAAGAAGAAAAAGATAGCATGCTATTCCAAAATGCAGAGCTTGAGACCCCTTAAGGGACTGCTTTTCCTCTTTATTTCTTGACTGAGACTGAATACTCATGAAAAGAAGAAACATGTAATATTAGAGCTTTAAGAGACTTTGGAAATACATTCATTTTGCTAACTTTTTTACAAAAGAAGAAATAGATCCTCAGACAAAGAAAGTGATTTACTCTTGGTCACACAGCAAGGTAGGAACAGAGCTGGAATTATTTATAACTCTGGACTCCTGATTGCTATTCATTGAACGCTACAAAGACTATGTGCCAGAGGAACCAGAATGTGAATGCCAAGGTAGACTGCAAGACTATGTCAGATACTGGACCCTCTGGCCATTTTCTTGGCCTGATCTAATGCCTTGTGGTTTGATCATGTCATTTCATCTCTGGACATATCTAAAGCCTGAGGCATGGGTATGAGGGCCACTAGAAAGATTGGAGGACCTAAATCAGGCATCAATTAAGTTATCCTTTAATGACCAGCTCAAATATCACCTCCTCTAGGACAACTTTATCAATCATTCCACCCAGAAATAATTAGGATTCTGCATTTTCATGATACCTTTCCAAGCCCTCTATATGACCAAAGTGGTCAAGTCTGATCTTGTCCTCCCGACTGAACGTGGAATCTCTGGAGTCAGGAGCTATTATAGTCTCTGCATATTCTTCCTCCTTGCCTTAGTCCAATTTTTGCATTTTCTTAGGAGTTTGGTAAATGACCATTGACTTGACAGACTGACTGACTTTGATTCTTGTGGAAATCCTCTGGCAGTAGAATTTTTGAAAGAGGAAATGAATTTTTATAAGTTGCCTGGCGAAAATGGTAACCCCAGACACCAGAACCTAGGCAAACATTGGCTGAGCACCTCCTCTGTGTTGAGTACCATGTGGGTGTTGTTGAACTTGTTCTTAAACCAGGTGGTTTTACCCTCAAGAAAGAAATTGAAATAGAGATAGATCAGACAGAAAAGAGTGAAATATATGGACAAATAAAATACAAGCAAATCTGAGATAGAAATAATATACTGAGGAAACAAGTATTTTTATCTAGGGAGCCTTTATAGGAAGTTGTATGTGCATTGGGCCTCAAAATATAGGAAGGATTTCAATGACAGACCAGGAGGAACATATAATAACTTTTTTCATGAAATAAGAAAGAAAGAATGTCTCTGGCAGTCTAGAGCAAATGTTTAAAGATGGTCAAATACGGAGCATACCCATGGTGCATGGCCCGATTTGGCTAGAGATTAGGGTGGATGAAGACTTTAGTGATAGATGAACCTGAAAAAAACACTGTAGAATCCGATTGTGGAGAGAGTTAAATGTCAGGCTCAGCATAGGAAATGTTATCCTTCCAAGCCTACTCTGAGATAAGTAGTTCCAATTGTGTCCACTCCCTGCCACTCTGGATATATTAGCAGTGTTTTGTGAGCATCATGCCCCTGGCCAATGTGAGGCACACATAGTCAGCAAGGCAAAGTGGCTTTTCTGGATATTGCTTTCATCTGCATTTCAGCTAGATATAGGCAATGCTGATGTCTTGCTCTTGTGTCTACTAGAGGTGTCTGAGTCTCAGATAAATGAATCTTGGAAGAATCTTTCAGCCCCCAACCCCAAATGCATGCCCCTGCACTTGGTCCTGTGGAATGTCTTGGAAATGTCCTTGCAGTGAATGGGAGCCTTAGAGACCCCACTTGCTGCAGAAGCATTCATACTTTATGTAGAAGAGCAATGCTACCCAGCTGACAGATAGAGGGGGGAGGGGGGAATGGACTTTAAAGAGAGACTACGTTTTTGAGATTATGGCCTCTACCCCTGGGACTAAAATGATATTGATTATAGCGTTGGTTTCTAGAAGAACTGGCATTTTATGTTTTTCTTGTTCCTCACTTCTTTTTCATGATGCTTTGTACCAGAGGTAGAACTCCTCTCTGGTGATTGCCAGCAGTGAGGTAATGAAAATCACCGCAGCAGATGGAAGAGATCTTTGTGGCCATTTAGGTCATTTTCTACAAAGGTTAAAGCCAATTTTTTTGCTTAATAAGTACTCTCTCTTCTTCTTGATTTAGTCAGAGGAAATGTCTCAATATCCTTATGTCCCCTTCCTGTCTGGATAGTTCCTAGCACATATTCAGTACCTTGGGAATGATGCTTGAATGAGTGAGTTGGTACCACTCTAACAGAAAAGATGTTTGTCTTTATTTTTGTTTGCTAACTGTAAGAAGGACTATGACATGTTATTTCTGTTTAATCATTGTTATATATATATATCTCCAGGGACAAGGTAGAAGCAGACCTGATATTTCTGGGATTGCTGATCTTGGAGAATCGATTGAAGGAAGAGACAAAACCTGTCCTGGAAGAGCTCATCTCAGCCCGGATAAGGACAGTAATGATCACAGGTATATATAAAAAAAGTAGAAAGCAGTAAGAATTTGATGTGGAAATAGAGATTCACTCACTTAGAAAATATGGCTGACTACCTCCTATGGAGCAGACACCATTCTAGGTGCTGGAGATGGGCAACAAAAAGGCAACGTTATTGTTCTCACTGAGCTTCTTTCAGATGGGGTGAGATAGAAAGTCAATCAATAAATTGGCAATCAAATAATCAAATAAATGGCTAGTAATGAGTGTTATGAGGTACATAAAACAAAAAAGGGTGATGTGGCAAAATGTCCGACTGAATACCTTGGATGAGGTGTCTTATCTGGGAGGAGACTTTTAAAATATCACTTGAATGAGACGATATAAGCCATGCAGAGATGATGATTTCATTGTGAAATATTAGGAGAAAAAGAATGCTTAGTCAGCATGGTCTGTAAACTGCACTCAAAACCCACCAATCATGTTCTGCAGATTTAAAAACAATGCTGTCCTTTCTACTTCTACTCCAAAGCCTCAAATCACACAAATAAGGGAGAAGTGAGGAAAGATCATGCAAAATGTGTGAAATTTCCTAATGAATGCTTCTGAACAGAGAAGAAATGATTTCCTAATACATCCATATTTTTTAAGTGTGTCTTCCCTTTCCCTGATCTCATAGACACATTCAACTCTATTGTGTTACCAAGATAGAATATTTCTCCACCCCACATCCCCTGAACCCAATTCTACTGTTGGGAACTCTAGAATATTTTTATTTTCCCTTCTCCTATTCCCATCTCCACTATCCAAGAGACATTTGGACAATGTTTACTCTCTCCCTTTCCAGTCCCTCTATCCAACTTTTAGGTGTTGCTGAGTTAATTTATTACTTATTAAAATATCCCCTACATATTGATGCCTCTGTTTCAAAAATATTTAGCACTATATTCACGTTCTCATAATCTATCCTTAATCATTAGACTTATGGAGAAACAAGGGTTGATTACCCTCCCTCTTTACTTCTTCCCTCCTATTAAATTTCTGTTCTGTTTCTCTCCTTGCTTGGTTATAATATTTTTCTCAAGAATTGTCCTTGGACAAGATAGAAGGATGATATGCTATCTGATTTCTTACATAGCCTGGAATATCTCTTTGCTCTGACAGTTGAATGAGTATAGAATTTTTGGGTTACAATCCTTTTTTTCTTAATAATCTGTGCCTTTCCTTTGCCCTTTGCTTTTTAGTGTTGCATATTACAAGTTCAATGCAAGTTCACTGTGGGTGGCTTGTTCCTTTCTGCATATGATACTTTTCCTTTAACTTTGAAGTTTAGAAATGTTATCAGAATATGCTTATAAGTTTCTTTTTTCATTAATTTGGTCTGGAACATAGTGAGCACTTTAAATCTGTCTTCTTCCTCACAGGAAATTTTTTTCTATTGTTCAAAAAATTTCTTCTATTATTCATTTAATTATTGCCTTTATTCTTTCCCTTTCCTATTTCCCTTTTAGAGTTTCTATTATTCATATGACAGGCCCCCTGCATATATCCTCTCAGTTTATTATATTTTTTCTTTTGGCTGATATGTTTTTATAATTATGCTTTGTGCTTTAAGATATATTTTTTTTTTGTACCCAGTTTATTTAAACCACAAGCTCAGGTCTCAAAAATGACTATTATCTTCTCCAAATCACCTGCTGAATTAAGTTCTTAAATCATATTTTGTGAGTGGTTTTAAACTTTTTAAAATTTATATTTTTTAGTGCAGTTTTAATCTGTCTCCTGCAGCTACTCTACTTTACCAATCATGTATTCTGGCTGTTTTCTCCTTATCTTTTCTTATCTAGCTACTGGGGTTTCATAAATAGGTTGTTATGTAGCTTTGTCAAATGACTGAGATTCAGGCCTCGGTTGCATATTCTAAACAGTAGAATTCCAGTGGCTGGTAGATGCAAAAGGGGCTTGCATTGCAAAGCAGAACATCTGCTGATGTCTTGCCGAGGCAGGTAGAGGAAATCTCTTAGCTCTCAACCTGAGGGTACAGCATCTCCTTCCCACCACTTAGCCTTTTGAGGATCCTCATAAAGTTTTGGTAGAAACCTGTGTTAAGGATAGTGATCCAGATCTTATCTTATTTATTGTTCAGTAGCTCTAATGACAATATCTCTACCTACCCTTTCAAGAAGCCTTACAACCAGAAGTGTTCTTTACCTTCGCTCCTTTATAGTTGTCATGTATGACAATGAAAACTCCACCAGGCAATGTTAAATTTTTTACTTTCAACAGTCAAGAATTAAAGAACATAAATGAAGAAAAATAGACTTATATTTACTCCAAATTTTATTATTTCTGTTGCTATGTTTTTATTATTCATATTGTAAGTATCATTTTCTTTTAGTTTAGAGACTTCCTTTTAGCCAAGTTGGTGTGGCTCAGTGGTTGAGTGTCCACTCATGAACCTAGAAGTCACGGTTTGATTCCCAGCCAGGACACATGCCCAGGTTGTGGGCTCGATACCCAGTGGGGGGCATGCAGGAGACAGCTGATCAATGATTCTCTCTCATCATTGATGTTTATATCTCTCCTTCTCCATTCCTCTCTCTGAAATCAATAGAAACATTTAAAAATTAAAAGAATTTCTCTTACCATTTCGTTTTGAGCATGTTCTTTGGCAAAAATTATCTTAGTTTCTCTTTATTTAATGTCTTTATTTTTACTTTATTCCTAAAGGATATTTTCATTAGCTAAAGGAGTCTGAGCTTATAGTTTTTTTCTTTCTGTACTTTAAAGATGTCATTCTACTGTCATCCTGCCTCCATAGTTTTTAATCAGAAATCTGTGATAATTTTCATTAGAATCATATTTTTATATATATATACTGTATTGGTTTTCTTTTCCTAGCTGCTTCTAAGACATTTTCTTTATCTTTTGTTTTCAGCAGTTTGATTATGTGTCCGGATGTGGTTCTCACTGAGTTGTTCACTGAGCTTCTTGAATCTGTGAATTTAAATTTGTAAACACATTAGGGAGTTTTCTGCTATTATTTTTTCAAAAATAATTTTCCTATTCCAGTTTCTTTCTCCTCTTTTTGGAGGACTTTAATGACAAAAATGTGAGTCTTCTTAATATTTTTTCAATCTCTTTTATTTTATTTTAAGATTTTTCTCTCTGTTCTTTAAATTGTATAATTTATATGGTTCTATATTCAAATTCATTGACTCTTTTCCTCATTGCCATTCTATTGTTGAGTGAATACAGTGAATGTTTAAATTTTCAGTTATTATATTGTTTAGTTCTAAAATAGCTACTTGGTTCTTTTTTATAGAATATACTAGAGGCCTGGTGCATAGATTCGTGCACCGGTGGGGTCCCTCAGCCTGACCTGCACCCTCTCGCAATCCAGGACCCCTCGGGGATGTCAGATAGCCAGTTTTGGTCCGATCCCCGCAGGCCCGATCTAGACAGCAGGGAGCCCGACCCTATGTGTTGAGCATCGGTCCCCTGGTGGTCAGTGTGTGTCACAGCGATCGGTCATTTGGTCATTCGGTTGCTTAGGCTTTTATATATAGAGATACTTCTTTCTGTTGAGGACTTCTATCTTGTCATTTATTTTAAGAGGATTAATGTGGAGGAGGCTTACAATAGCTCCTTTAAAACCAGTGTAATAGTTACAACAACTGGGTTATTTTGGGACAGGCAATTATTGATTACCTTTTCTTGAGAATTGGCCAGACTTTCAGGGTTTTTTTGTATATTGAGTGTCCTAAATATTCCAAATATGATTTTTTGATACTTTGGATACTGTTAAAATTCTCTGAAAAATGATTTTGGGTTTGGCAAGAAAAACTCAGAAATAGTGGAGGTGATTAATATTGCCTTTGTCATTCTTCTTTGGGTTTGTTCTGCATGTGCACAGCTCTGAGTTGGGCTGGGGACTTACATAGTTCACATACTGAAATTTGTCTCCTTATCTAGGACTTTCTTTTCCAGGATTTCCCTCATAACTCTCCAGCCCCAGGCGCCCCTTTTCCTAGTTCTTCTGGCCAGAGAGGCTAGTTTCTCAGAGATTTTGCTACCTGCACAGCTCTAGGGTTAAATATGTGAAAGGAAGAGGAAAAAAAGCTGAGAATCTTAGCACCTGGTAGATTGTTTCTCCAAATTTGACTCTCTTTCACATTCTACCTGCTTATGTTTACTTTCAAGGGCCTTGGGTAGTTGCTCTTTGTATTTTTTCTCAGAGTTTTCCATTGTTGTCAGTGAGAGAGATAGTGGGATTACTCTCCATCTTTGCTGGGAGGAGGACCACCAGATAGTATATAAAACCAGTAGATTCTTACTAAATGTTTACCAAGCTGTTAAAAAATGACAGAAGTAAATTAGAATTTTGCCCTTTTGTTTTTTTCCCCACTCTATTACAAAAATATATGAAGTAACCAGATGAAAAGCAGCAAGAACCAGAAAAGCAACCATGAAATCAAGGAAGGTCAGGGCTGAGGGAGACTTTAGAGCAGTGGTTCTGAACCTTCTGGCCCTTTACATACAGTTCCTCATGTTGTGACCCAACCATAAAATTATTTTCGTTGCTACTTCATAACTGTAATGTTGCTACTGTGATGAATCGTAATGTAAATATCTGATATGCAGGATGGTCTTAGGCGACCCTGTGAAAGGGTCGTTTGACCGCCAAAGGGGTCGCGACCCACAGGCTGAGAACCGCTGCCTTAGAGGTTATGTCTCTTCACACCTATAATCAAGACTTGACTCCTTATCCTAGTTTTCCAGGCCCTCTAAGAATTTGTCCTATCTCTTCAACCTCATGTTAGGATGGTCTTCCTTTCTTCTAGGTGACAATCTTCAGACTGCAATAACAGTGGCCAGAAATTCTGGAATGGTTTCCGAAGGCCAGAAAGTCATTCTCATTGAAGCGAGTGAAAGTACTGGGTCCTCATCAGCATCCATATCTTGGAAATTAGTAGAAGAGAAGAAACCCATTGCATATGGGAATCAGGTATTCTTAAAAACAGACTTTCAGCCACATTATCTAACTTGCTTCACAGTGTGGGTAACTGAGCAGCTTTGACTGGCAGAGGTGTACAGGTGACCTAGGGTCAACATACTTCTCCAAATCTCTCACACATGCAGTGTGAAGTGCTCAATTATATCAGTTCCCCATATCTTTCCAACTGAGCTTTAAGGTACAGTGCATTCATGGGTGCTGGAAATAATCCATTCTTTTAAACTTAAAAAGTTTTTGTCTCTGTTTGAGAAAGAATATAGTAAGGATGCTCTGACTCCAACTTCCCATTTTTGCCATGCTTGCCAGCCACCCTGTTGAATTCAAAGGGGATTTAATCCCTAGGAGAGATACCACTGTGTGAAATGGAAAATCAGACTGTATCTTCAGGGTAGGGAAGAAAGTGTTATTCATTTATCTCCAATCTTGTCAGTATCCTATTTCTATTGTGTCCTTGTGGAACAATATTAATTCTTTAAGAAAAAAAAATTGTAAGTTCTCACTTCAGGGAGAGATTTGTTAAGCTATAGTGCTTTTGTATTTTACACTTGAAATGTGTGAAATGTGCTCTTCTCTGGGACCCACCGAGATCAAATCAGGATGAGATCAGGACATGAGTAAGTGTTATTCTCCTATTTACTATAGAGCCTGTGATGTGCAAAGATTGATCTAGCAAAGAGAAAGTGCTTCTCTGAGGAATCAGGCCTGGAGTTTGACTTTTACAGAGAGACCCTGGACTGCCATAGTTGTCTTCTCTCAGAGATGCTGTGGTTCCTATCCACTCTACCAAGTCTAAAATAACTGTGTCTTGCTTTGCAGGACAATTACATTAACATCAGGGAAGAAGTCTCTGAAAATAGCAGAGAAGAAAGTTACCATTTTGCCCTAAGTGGAAAATCCTTTCAGGTTATAAGTCAACATTTCAGCAGCCTATTGCCAAAGGTCAGTTCTCAGAGGGTACTAATTTCCTGGTAAAGATGCTGACAATGTCATTTACAGAACATAATCCTCAGTAATTTCACACCTCTAAATAGGTAAGATATCCCTATTGAACGTCTCATGAAAGAGGCAGATAGTTTTACAGAGGTTGCTGTTGTCTCTTATCCTATTAGATTTAAAATAAGTAAACTTGCCTGGCCAGTGTGGCTCAGTTGATTGAGCATTGTCCAACGCACCAAGAAGACTCCAGTTCAATTCTGTCAGGGCACAGGCCTGGACACAATCCCCAGTAGGGGGCGTGCAGGAGGCAGCCGAATTATGTTTCTGTCTTATCATCGATGTGTGCCATGAGATGAAAAAGGTTGAAAATCAATAATTTATAGGATTAAACTAGTGACTTCTCAAGTCATCAGGATTGCTTTTGGGTAGCTGTCATTATATTTTCATGGTTAGGAGTCTCACAGTAGAGTGGAAATTCTGCAATTATACAAGAAGACAGGCTTGAATAGAGGAATTTCGGGAGATTTTTCATAGAGGACCTCTACACAGAAAAGAGTCAAACTTAACAACTTTTCTGATGAAGAATAAACCCGTAGTGGGGGCAGATGATTATTTGTATTCAATTACTCACCATCTTAAGCACTGCTTAAGAAAAAAAGAATAAAGACTTTGAGGCTTAGTAAACACTAAACTGAGTTTACTGCCAGGGAGGTCAGGGGGCAGGCAGACCTAACACAGATAAATTTAGGTTCTATAGAATGGAGCTCAGGTGGAGGGGCTCGTAGAGGTTCTTATACTACCAAACCATCAATGTCCCATAGTCCAATTAGGCTTGGGATATCAGCCGAAGTTTACAACCGATCCAGCCCAGATGATACAGTAAGTCAAAAACCACAGATAGTTACTCTACTATTTCATCACTAGGCTATTTTTCTGCTAATTCTGAACAAATTTCTGAGAGGCAGTTGCTTCATTTTCTTTTCCTGAGTTCCTTACAATTTTTCATGTTCTGTTGGCTTAAGGTTCCATAAGATCAGGATTTTTTAGGACCACATTCTCTATGGCAGCTGTCTCTATGGCAGCTGAGCTAAATAGATATCATGTTCACCAAGTATTTTTATGAAGTAGTCATCTTTATTGATTTTGGTCTTCCTGGTAACCTATCTGATGACCTATGTCCCAATGCCTATTGTAAAATCCAAAGGAAGACTTCTTGAGAAACAGTTCTTTTTTTCTTTACCCTGTCAGTGTTATGAGTGTTGTTAATTATTTCATGTATGACCAGCTGACATAAAAACTATTTCTCTTTTGGGTTCCTTGCAGATATTGATGAATGGGACCATCTTTGCAAGAATGTCTCCTGGGCAGAAATCCAGTCTGGTGGAAGAATTTCAGAAACTGGAGTAGGTTCTTTTCCTATTCAGGTGTGAAGTGTGAGGGGCATGGCAGTCAGGGAAAGAGGAAGAGGCACAGGAAGTCACTCTGTTCAGCGAGGACAGTGGTTCTTAACCTGGCTGCACACGTTAGTCACCTTGGGAGCTTTGGAAAATTAGCAATTCTAATTCATTTGCTCACATGGTGCTTGGACATCAGTATTTTTTTTCAAAACTCCTCACATAAGCCAATTTTGCATCCAGACTTGAGAAGCACTGACTAGACCAGTGATGGTGAACCTTTTGAGCTTGGCATTTTGAAAAACCCTAACTTAACTCTGGTGCCATGTCACATATAGAAATTTTTTGATATTTGCAACCATAGTAAAACAAAGAATTATATTTTTGATATCTATTTTATATATTTAAATGCCATTTAACAAAGAAAAATCAACCAAAAAAATGAGTTCGCATGACATAGGTTCGCCATCACTGGACTAGACCGTAAGCGTCATGAAAAGGTAAGGTGAGAAACAAGCCTGGAAAGGTAATGTGTACTCAGCTCCCAAAGGGACAGGGAAATTTAGACTTCATTTTTACCAATTATTATCACAGTTATGATATAGGAAGACTTACATGATGAGAGATTCACATAACCTTCACAATATTAAAACCATCTATGCCAAAACATCCTCTTCACCCTAAATCAGAAAAATGATTTATCTTCTAACACAGAAGGTCTCCATTGATCGAATGGGCAGTTCAAATAAAGTGCCCATCATTTGGGACTCCTTTTCTTTCTTTCTTTCTCTTTCTTTCTTTCTTTCTTTCTTTCTTTCTTTCTTTCTTTCTTTCTTTCTTTCTCTCTCTCTCTCTCTCTCTTTCTTTCTTTCTTTCTTTCTTTCTTTCTTTCTTTCTTCTTTCTTTCCTTCCTTCCTTTCTTTCTTCTTTCTTTCTTTCTTTCTTTCTTTCTTTCTTTCTTTCTTTCTTTCTTTCTTCCTTCCTTCCTTCTTTCCTTCTTTCTTTCTTTCTTTCTTTCTTTCTTTCTTTCTTTCTTTCTTTCTTTCTTTCTTTCTTTCTTTCTTTCTTCCTTCCTTCCTTCCTTCCTTCCTTCCTTCCTTCCTTCCTTCCTTCCTTCCTTCCTTCTCTCTCTCTCTCTCTCTCTCTCTCTCTCTCTCTCTCTCTCTCTCTCTTTCTTTCTTTCTCTCCTTATGTTTTGGTAAATGAACTCATAAAGTCCTGAAGGTTTCCTCTACTTCTGGTGCTGGACCACATAGATATGACTCCTACCTCTACTCACTGCAGCTCCATCCTGCTACTCACTTGATTAAGTCACTAGGCAAACACCTCCATTCAGAACACTCTGTCTTCTCAACATGGTTGAAAACCAAGACAGTAAACTAGTTGCCTTTATAGAGCAACGTGTGAAAAGAAGCACAGTAAGTTCTTTAAATGCATTCAGAGTGCTCATTCCTTAAAAAGCAGACTATGGATTAAGGTTCCATAAGATCAGGATTTTTTGCAAACAATTGTTGGCACAATTGTTGGCAGGATTTTTTGCCAGCAATTTAACAGAGTAGTATTCACTCAGCCTCAAAAAGCAACCCTAAAGAAGGGATGTGTTTTCTTCAACTTCTGGGCCTGGAACTTCATTTTTTGTTGTGTGACTGCTAACATGGCAGGCTTTTCCCTTGTGTACTATTAACAGCACCAACAAGTAAGTTTTATTTATGATTTCAGAATTTATAAGGCAATTTCCCATATTGCACCTCACTGAATACTCTTAATACTGTGCAGGGGAGAAAATGTTAGTCTAAACAGTAAATCAGGTCAACGATCTAGATCTTGTAGCTTCAAACCCTGTGCCCTCTCCACCATGCCATGCTGTCTTACATATAATTATGAGCATCCTGTTTTGCAGTTGACAAAGCTGCTTCCTAAACAGTAAAGTGCATCATTCCTGAATGTGCTTGGAGTCAGGAATGACGTCCTGGATTTCTTATCCATTGTAGGAACTGCTGAGTCAAATCTTACTTTTTAGTCAAACCAGACTATCAGGGAAACTCCATTAAAATAATAAGTTTAAACACTAAGCAATGAAGCTCATGTTATCTTTTTAATTAGAGAAATTATCATTAAGATCGCTTTGATATATTCCACAATTGACATGGTTCGCCTTTAGTTACTTTGTAGGTATGTGCGGCGATGGAGCCAATGACTGTGGGGTAAGTAGTGGCCAGTGTGTGGGACCACAGTCTCACATGGATTGTACTTGCCCAGAGCCCTGCAGAGATAGTATCTTCCGGGATATACACTCTCTCCACTCCTCTTGTTGAAGAAACTGATGCTGAGTGTTTGGGAGAGTTTGGGCCAAAGCTACATAATAACTCAGTGGCCATTATAGACTAAGTGGGGTAGAATTTGGTTCTGAGGTCCCCACTTTTACTGGGAGGCCCAGTGCCATCTCTTTCTTATGTGGCAGGCAGATCGAAGTCTGGGGTCATCTCCTGGCCAGTGTTTGGGCCCACAAGCCACCTTGTGGACAGCTTAACTGGCCCCTTTCTTATGAGGCCTCAGGAGAGATGTATGGGAGTGTGCACGCACCGTAAGCGAACTCTTTGCTTTCAGGCTTTGAAAATGGCTCACGTGGGCATCTCTTTATCAGAGCACGAGGCATCTGTGGCCTCACCTTTCACTTCCAAAACTCCAAACATTGCGTGTGTACCTCAACTTATCAAGTAAGTAAGCACTATACACCAACATTGTTTTCATCTCTTCTGCCTTCTAGGCACAGATCCCACTGTTCTTTTTATTTTATTTTATCATGTATTTATTTGAATTGTTTTTTTTCCCCAATTACAGTTGACTTTCAATGTTATTTTGTATTAGTTTCAGGTGTGCAGCGTAGTGGTTAGACAATCACTTTATGAAGTGTTTCCTCTGATGTTTTCGGTGCCCAACTGGCATCATATTATCAACTCTATTCCCTTTGCTTTACATCCCATGACTATTTTGTAACTACCAATCTATACTTCTCAGTCCCTTTACCTTTTTCATTCAGTCCCTACCCCACCCCCCCTTCCTCTGGCAACTATCAGTCTATTCTTTGTAACTGTGAGTCTGTTTCTGTTTTGTTTGTTCATTTATATTGTTCTTTAGATCCCACATACCAGTGAAATTATATGGTATCTGCCTTTCTCTGACTGACTTATCAGATTCCATTGTTCTGCAAGTCAAGGACCAGAGAAACTTTGCATCTTTGGGTGGGGAGGTGCTTTGCAGGAGAATTCGGTCAAACATTCTACTTCCCAGTGGACTTCCCCGGAGCTAAAATAATCCTGGGAGAACAGTGGCATTTCTAATAAAAATCACTGAGTAGTTTACTTTTAGAAAGTTGGAATCTGGCACTTGTTACTGCTTTGACAGTGTTGATTATATTATTATGATGATGATTATTATTTAAATGTATCTTCTTAGATGCTTGATAATGAGGAATTGAGAGAATTTTTCTCTCCCCATTTTCTTTCCTTTCTCTTGCCTCTTTATGCTACCTTAGGATAACCTTCCCATCTCTAGTTTCCAAAATATTTATTTTTGCTGCTTCTACTAAAATTTCCCTTGGTGCTTTATTTCCACCACCCCCTCGAATATATACTTCTGGTACATTCTTTTTTTTTAAAAATATATTTTATTGATTTTTTACAGAGAGGAAGAGAGAGAGATAGAGAGTTAGAAACATTGATGAGAGAGAAACATCGATCAGCTGCCTCCTGCACATCCCCCACTGGGGAAGTGCCCACAACCCAGGTACATGCCCTTGACCAGAATCGAACCCGGGACCTTTCAGTCCGCAAGCCGATGCTCTATCCACTGAGCCAAACCGGTTTCAGCAACATTCTTTAAATGACAGAGGTAGTTAGCACTGTGGCTGCTTTGGGTTATTATAACTAGTATCTATAATAATAAAAGCATAATATGCTAATTAGACCGGATGACCTTCCAGACGAATCTGGGGCTGCCAGGGCCAAGGCAAGCCATCATGGCTGCGAGGGCCAAGCCCCTTGCACAAATTTTGTGCAACGGGCCTCTAGTGTGTTTATAAAGTGTTTTAATGCCTGTTTTCTTATACTTCAAAAAGCCTGGAGATGTAGGAATGGTCACTATTTCTTCTACAAATAAAGAAATTGAGGCTATGGGACGGGGCTGGGATGAGGCAGGCAAAGGGGTGGGGAAACATAAGGACATGTGTAATAGTGCAACAATAAAAAAAATTTGAAAAGTAAAAATTTTTTAAAAAAAGAAAGAAAGAAATTGAGGCTCAGAGAATGACCCAAGCTGACACAGCCATATAGGATTGGAGATGCTATTAGAATTAATTTTGTTTAAATGTGTTTTATCTACAAATGCCATACTCCTTTCCCCACATTAAAATGATGATTTGGCTAGCTCCTTCCAATTTTTATTTCTTTATTTATTCATCTGTTCAACAAACATTTATAATGTAGACACTTAGTGCCAGGAACAGTTGGAGGCAGAAGCAAGTAAATCAAACGTCCCTCCATCGCATGACGTTTTCCTCCAATGAAGAAGTCAGGCAATAAACACACGCACAGATAAATCAGGGCCAATGTGAAAGGTAGGAAGATGACCAGGGGGGCAGAATTTGCTGTGCCAGGTGAGGTGGTGTGGGAAAGCCTTTCTAAGGAGGTGAGGGATGGGAGAAACTGCCTTCTAGGCAGAGCGAATGGCAGCAGCAAAGCCCTGGCACAGGAAAAAGCTGGGGGTGAGGATAAGGCTTTGGACCCCAGGAAACCATTACACCCAGAAGTAAATTTACACTATTTTTTTTTCCCAAATGAAAGAAATAAAAGTGGCATTTTACGAGTAATTTATTTTATGCTTTAATATATATATATAATATATATATATATTATATATATATAATATATATATATATATAATATATATATATATATATATATACCCTTTACCCACAGAAAAACAATAGTAACAAGAATGAACAGACTCATTGTTTCTAGTCTATTTAAATGTGATACATAACTAATTTGAATGTGTATATTATTTTAGTCCAGTTTTAGAAGAAGTTGGGACTCACAAATGAAATTTGAATGAAATATTTGGGCAAACTCCTGAAGCACCTGCATGAAACTAGCCCCCAAACCTGCAATGTTACTTATAGTCCTTGGTTCACAGATGAAGAAACTGTGACCGAGAGAAGGGAAATGACCTTCCAAATCACATTAGTGAGTAGGTATGAGATCTGGGACCAGCCCAAGTCCCCAGACTCTGAGCTAAAATAATGTCTGCAGAAAGGATAAGAGTAGCTCTAAATCTGGCTCCCTGGTTGGATCGAGGCCCGTGGACCTTGCAGTGGAATTGGCCTTTCCTGAAAATGTATCATTTAGCTCGCTGACAGCCGCTCCCACTGGCTCGAGGCTGTCCCGTCTCCCGTCAGGCACACAATGGAGTTAGTCAGACTTTTGATCTTTTCTCCTGAGCTCAGCTGAACAACACAGAATAACTGACCTCATTTTGTTTCATCACTTTCATTACTTTCTCGTTTCTTTTCTCACACAGGGAAGGACGTGCCGCCTTCGTTACCTCATTTTGCATGTTTAAGTACATGGCTCTGTACAGCATGATTCAGTATGTTGGTGTTCTGCTGCTCTACTGGGTATGACTTGGGACCTAGCCTCTTGGTTAGTGAGAACTGGGACAAGGGGCGGTGCACTCTCAACACGCAATGCCTCTTAAAGTGCAAATAGGAGATTGGAGCGCTAACAGCCCCTCTAAAAATGATTGTTCATGTTTGGAAAATAAATCAGAAATAGATACACGCACACAGGAAAAGTTGTTGGTGTGAGTTCTCTGAGAGAGAATAATCTAGTGGTAGTTGAGGATCAGAAAGGAACACATCACTTTCTCTCTCGCTGTTGCTTTCACCTGCTTAGACCAGGTCTCTATCTTTCCAGTCCAATGTGGCTGTCCTCTTGCATACCACTCATTAAAGAGACGATTCTCTGATTGGGGGCTGGACTGTTTCAAAACTGGCTCTCCCTTGAAAAATAAGGCCTGCTTATTAATGTTTGCCAATTTTAGTGGTGTAAATGCTCCCACCATGGCTGGAGTCAAGTGATCCAGCTGAACATGGAGTTGGGGAGACACATACAATAGCATACTTTATGTAGTACTTGCACCATATAGATACAAGAGTTACAAATAATCTCAAGAACATAGATAACAGTAAAGTATAGGAAAATGATTGGGAAGTGCCAAGTTTTGAGTTTCTCTGTTTTCATTATAATTTATTTAATAATAAATTTGTATTATTTAAGATTTTATATAGGCTGTGTTTAACAACCGGGTCACAAAATTTCTAAAAATCTAGCAATAAACTCTTATGAGCTAGTACAAGCCAGCATATTACTGACTCTCTGCACATAGGGATTTAAAAATTGACATATTGTACCACAAAAAAACACACATAGGTCTTGGGAGGGCTTTTACTATTTAACCAAACATAAAAGGAGAATATCCATGACTACTGCTTGTAGACTCAACATGTGGGGGCTTCTTATATTAGCTATCACAGAGAAAGGGAACTCTGTTTGTGCTGGAGATATCTAGATTTATCTCTATATCTTGCCCTCTCGCTCCTGGTTTGAAAGTTTTAGCTCTGTTACCTTTGGATTACCTATGTCTTTTCCCACTCACTAATGAATGAACTGGAGAAGTTATTTGTAGAGATTTGATTCTATTTTTAAATCACAATAACTTTTGCTCAAAACTAGAGTTAAACATAGGTCATCATTATGGCCTTTCCACCAAGGGGTACGTTACTTGAAATATGTAAGACATAAAGAACATCAAGGTGCTTTATCAGGGACTTTCTATCAACATCCAAGAAAGCAAATAGTTGGTTCCATTGTCATTTTCCATCAGTAAAATTTAGGTAAGATCACCACACATTTGTCACTTGTTACTATTGGGAATGCACTCTTTTAGTGTCAGATGACACCCCAACTTTTCTGCTAACAAGTAGAGAAGAGAGCAGAGATGAATCTGGGAGAGTGAGATATTCCCCTCAGCAAGGGGAGATAGTGATGCACAAAGGACCCAGCCCAGAATGCACATGATCGGGGCCTCCTGGTTGTACAGGATTTCACAGCCTTGCCTGGGCACTCCCACCAACATAAACAGGCCTCTGACCACACCATCTTCTAGGTAACTTACTTGACAATCCTAAATTGCCATGAGAAAGTGAATGAAATTGATGTCAAACTTCATCCAGAAGGTCACAACTCTTTTGAGCTGTTTTCCTTTTTATTTTCAGGAGACCAACAGCCTGTCAAATTACCAGTTTCTGTTCCAGGATCTGGCCATTACAACTCTTATTGGTGCAACAAGTAAGAAGTTTTTAAATCTTTCTTCCCAGAGGTGCTCCCCAGAAGGCCCCCCAGGAGGGGAGGGCAGCAGCTGCAGCAGCTGTGATGTTTGACTTATTCCCAAAGGTGTATACAGAGAGGGAAAGAGGAAGGAATCCTCATTTTTGAGTGCTGAAAAAAGTGCTAGCAAGGGAAAAGCTGGCTAGTCATTTTGCTATTTTTCAAAAAAGATGGAGCGTCCATAAAGGTCACGAAATATTAAAAAACAAACAAAAACAACACCTTGAAAATCAGAAATGCTGGCTTTGGTGTGCTTTTACTATTAGGTATAGTTATAAGTGAAATGTGCTTAACATATATCTTGTATGTTTTTCATGTCCAAATCCTAGCTTCACGAGATCTAGAACAGAGAAAGGTCCTCTTGCCATTAAGCCACTCCCACTCCCACCTTCTAACTAATAAATGAATGTCTTTACAATTTCCCTGCTGTGGGATTTTCTTCCTACCCAAGCACTAACAATCATCTTTTCCAAATTCTCTGCTTTCCTCTCTATTACATATAAATGCCAACAGCCCCACTTGTACTTAAAATCCTACCTCCCCTTTCCTTCTTAAGAACTTTGTTCATGTAATATTCCCTTCCTCCATCATGGTCATCTTTTCTCTGGGCTACTGGATCATTCCCATCAGCATATAGATATATTTCCATACCTTCTTTCTTTAAAAGTTCTTCCTTGCCCAGCAGGCATGGTTCAGTTGTTGAGCATTGCCCCAAGAACCAGGAGGTTATGGTTCAATTCCTGGACAGGGCACATGCCCAGGTTTTGGGCTCAATCCCCAGTAGGGAGTGTGCAGGAGGCAGCCGATCAATGATTCTCTATCATCATTGATGTTTCTATCTCTCTCCCCTTCTCCCTTCCTCTCTCTGAAATCAATAAAAAATATTTAAAAAATAAATAAAAGCTCTTCATTGACGAAAATCCACCACTATCTGCTGTCCCCCTTATTGTCCAACTTCCCAGTTAGTTGTGTATGCCCACATTCTCCACTTGCCATCTCTAATTCTATCATTTCAATCAGCCAGATTCTAACACTTAAGGACATGGATTTGGATGCTTGGTCTGTGCTGATGTTTGGGAGGGGATAGAGTGGTAGGTTGGCAAATGTTTAACAAATGGCTTCCCCCCTCCCCCAAATATGATTTTACATATATGCACATAAATTTATCATAAACATTACTGAAAAAAAAATGTGTGGTGAACAATTTTCAAGTAATAATCAAATATACAATGTCTTTCTTGTAAATTCCAGTCTGTCAATTAATTCTCACAAAATGCTTTCACTGAGTTTTACCAAATTCTTATATCCATAGTCAACCTATGCTATTGATGACTGAATTAGTTTTCACATAAAACTTTCTTGACATTTTTCTTTCCCTGAATGACAAAACAACAAAAACTTATGTTGAAATTTTAACCATCCATCAGTGATGTAAACAACTTATTTCTGAATTAGATAGTGGTTTTTGAATGCTGGAAGAATATTTCCTCGGTAAAAAAAAGAAAAAATTTGTTCATGATGTAATGACTACAGACATGACACACTTTTCAGTGTAATCTCCATTATTAACTTCAAGAACATAGATAATTCTAAAATATAAAATAATTTAAAAGTTATCAGTTTTGAGTGTTCATTATCTTTGTTTTTCATATATTTATTTAATTGTAAGTTTACATCCTTTATTTTTTATAATGGCTGCGTTTAATAATTGGCTTGCAAATTTAGCAGAAATTGGCCTTTGTGTGCCAGCTCCAGCCACCACTGGCTGGGAGGATGCATGCTACTGATGCATGAAAAGGTACAAGTCTCCCATTGCCTCTTTACATGCCTCAGGGTCTTGCTTCCACATTATTTCTTCTTATATCTTCTCATCACAATCTTAACAACCATCATGCCAACTTATTTTAAAAACTTGTTCAAAGACTGTTTTTGGAGAACGTGTTCAGGGGGAGGGAACTACCATCATTGCTTCAGCAGCCACCTTATTGATGCTGCTCTTGTCAAGTCCACCAGTGACTTCCGTTGACGGCAACGGCCACTTCTCTTTCCTGATTGTACTTGAATCTCTCAACAGCACACTCCTTCAGCAGAAGTTTTCTTCTCTTGGATCTGTGATACCACACACTCCTGGATTATGTATCACTTTGGTGAAGACAGTTTTCCCATTTCTTTTGCTGACCTCTGCTTCATTACCTGTCTTCTAACTTTTGAAATGTTACAAGTCTTCATCCCAATGTTCTTGGGTTCTTTTGTCTTTTCAATCTACACTGTCTGCCTAAGTGAATTCAACCAATCCTATGACTATACATGCTGATATATCCCAAATTTACATCCCTTGCCTTGATGTCTGTCCTGAGCTCTGGAAATGTAGCTACTCAGCACCTAATGTTGGATATTTAACAGAATGTAGGCCTAGCATGCCCAAATAGAACTCTTTATTCTATCAGATCTTACAGCTAACAAAACCATTAAATATTTACTATTTAGTCTGTACTACTTCCTGAAATAGGTGTAAAAAAAGCAGCAAAATGGAGTAAATATTGTCAAGAGAGCAATGCAAAATGGAACGGGGAGGCCTCTAGGAAGCGGAGCTAACTCACCTCCCTCCCTGTGAAAGTGAACTTTTGAACTGAGCTAAACTACAAATGGCTACATCCTGAATTGGCTCTGCATCACTGAACTCTCTATTAAGAAATAACAATCTCACCTAGAAACAATTAATCATGTATAGCATGGCGCAAGTCTGCCTGCCAGCACCTATCACAACTCTCTCAAAACAGCTTGTATAACTCCTTTGGAAACGCCACATTTTTCTCTCTTTCCCTTGGCACACAATCAGGTTTCTACCCAAATCTGTGTGCCATAAATTTCGTTTCCTAAGGCCTCAAATAAAGCTTTTGTTTGCCTTGATGTTCTTGGTCAACATTAATTGATATTGGCACTTGAAATATGTCAGTGAAAAAAACACACACAAATAAAATTTCTTAAAATAGCATCATTAATCTACCTAGTTATTCAAAGACCTGGAATTATCCTTAATTTCTCTCTTTCTTTTTTTTTTTTAGCCTTCACATACAATACATATGAAATTCCTATTGGCTCTACCTCCAAAAAATATTCCGTATCCCTTCTCTCCATCTTTATTGTAGCCACTGTCACAAATCATTGTCACTTTTCCTATAGATCACTGCCATAACCATACAACTGTCTTGCTCCCACTCTTATTGCCATCCCCTCACTTCCATTTACCTTTCAAACAGCGATAAGAGTGCTAGTTTCTTTTTTTAATTTAAATATTGTTGTCATATTCTTGCTTACAATGCTCAAGTGGCTTCTCATTTCCACTAAGGCCCAAGTCTTCCATAATTTATTTTTGCCCACTTCTCCGACTTTATGTCTAACCACATTGCTACTTGTGTACTGTTCCAGGCACCCCAGTCTTTCTGTCTCTTGAGCATTGCCAAGTTGTGGTCATCTCCACACCTTTGATTTTGCTATTTCCTTTGCCCAAACTATGTTCTCTTTAGATCCTCATGTGACTTTGACTTTCCTTTTTTACTCAGATTTTAGCTCAAATGTCACCACGTCATAAAGGTCACTTTAAACAATGACCAAGCCAGTTATTCTGTAGCACACAATTCTGCTTTATTTTTTCACAGTACTTGTCACAATCTGAAAGTATGATATTTATCTGTTTTATATGTTTTTCCTGCTTCCCCTCACCCAGAGTGTGCACTTCATGAGAGTAGCACCTTGTCTGTCTTGATCACTGCTGTCTTCCCAGGGCCTCTAATAGAGCCTGACTTAGCAGAGGAGTTCATTAAATACTTGCTAAATCTATTGAAAGAACACTCTTGGACAGTCCTTATCATTAACAGAGTTCTCTTCACATCAGGCCAAATATATCTCTGTGTAAGTTTCCCCATCACAGTTCTGCCATTTGGGGAGTCACAGCATAGTCTGAATTCCTCCCCAGGACAGTCTTTCAAATATTTGAAAACAATTCTCATTTCTTCTATGATAACAAGCATCTCCAGGGTTTTTCTATTTTATATATATCCTATGCTAGAGGCCCTGTGCATGAAATTTGTGCACTCAGGTGTGTGTGTGGGGGTGTCCCTCAGCCTGGCCTGTGCCCTCTTGCAGTCCAGGAGCCCTTGGGAGATGCCCAACTGATGGCTTAGGCCCGCTCCCTGGCCTCAGACATTGTTAGTGCTGCCATGGAGGCAGGAGAGGCTCCCACCACCCCTGCTATGCTCACCAGCTGTGAGCCCAGCTTCTGGCTGAGAGGCACTCCCCCTGGTGGTCAGTGCACATCATAGCAACCAGTCATTCCACCATTCTGTTGATTTGTATATTAGCCTTTTATTATATAGGACAATAAAAGCCTAATATGCTTAGTGTCTGGTCGTCCAGTCATCTGTTCAACCAGTCAAAGCATAATTTGCTAATGATATGCTCAACCACTCACTATGATGTGCACTGACCACCAGGGGGCAGTTGACCAATTGCTATGATGTGCACTGACCACTAGGAGGCAGATGCTCCAACCGGAAGTTTAGTTTGCTGGGGTCTGGCTGATTGGGACTGAGCAAGATGGGCCGGACACACCCTGGAACCTTCCTGCAGCCCCTCCCTCCAGCTGGCCCCACCCCTGATGGGGTCACGCCCATGCACAAATTCAAGAGGAAGGGAGAAAGAGAGAGAGATAGAAACATCAATGATGAGAGAGAATCATTGATCATTGATTGGCTGCCTCCTGCATGCCCCCCACACTGGGATCCAGCCCGCAATTTGGTCATGTGCCCTGACCGGGAATCAAACTCCTGACCTTCTGGTTCATAGGTCAGTGCTCAACAACTGATCCATGCCAGCCAGGCTCAGGTAGTGTTTTGACAGAGATTTCCTTGAACTCTGTCAGTTTAAAAAATATGAACAGAGAAATACCACCCCCTCCCGCCCCCCCCCCCCCCAATCTTTGCAGATTGGTTCTGTGCTGGGCACTTCAACACTTAGCCAAGCTTGAGTCTAGAGATCATCCTGAGCTGAAAGCATAGGAATTTTCTGGTCATTTCTGAGCATGTATCTTGGTCATGTACATGGCTTTCCATATTCCCCCAGTATGCACAGGTGATGGTGAATACCACAATCTCCCAAAGAAACTTTAGCTTTTCTTTCCAGGCTTTAGGAATTTTTTCATTTGTCATCTTTTGCCTCAGTGACTGCAGGTAGTTTGTTAATCTTGCAATGCTATGGAGCAGTGCATGCTGCTTTCCCACCCCAAATAAGTTTTGCATTAGGTGAAACAGAGATGAGCACCTTGCACCAGGGCTTCAGGAGTCCCCAGCCAATTTAGAACAGACATGCAGAATAATTTGTGGATAAAGCCTGCTCTTCCCTCTCTGTAATAAGGAACCAGGGTCTCCCACCTGATGTGTGTGCTACTATCTTCACCTTTGTAACTGAACTGGGGGGAGGGAGGCAATGGCAGGTAAAAATGCACAGGGCTTTCCTAATATTTTCAAGTTGTCTTTTTCTTGATTCAGCATTTGTTTGGATGCTGTAAACCTTTGTCTATTTTTCAAAGTTCTGACAAAGTTGGTTCTTACAGTTTCTGCTTGTTTTTCAATGTTTCTAATGGAGGGATGGGATCTTGGAGCTGCTTGCTCTGCTATTTTGCTGATGTCCTCATAGTTTAATTTCTTAAGTATTTGAAAGCATTACATCTTAGTGACTGCATGCTGTTCCATTATATAGATGTGCCACAATTGATGCTGTGATTAGCATCTTTCTATATTTCTGATATTTTTTTAGAATAGGATAAAATTCCAAAAGTGGAATAACTATATGAAAAGTTACGAAATTTTTTCAATCTCTTCATATTCATTAACAAAGTGCCCTTCAGAAGGTTTTTATCAATTTATATTCCCACACGCAGTATAAGAAAAGTGTGCATTTAATGCTCCCTCACCTGTAATGTAATAGTCTTTGCCGGTTTAATAGACACAGAAAGGGCATCTTGTGCTTGTTTTATGTCTGCTGCCTTACCAATTTCTCATATGACTTCAGTTTGAGTCTACTATTGTATTATTCATTCAGTTTGTGACGTACTTTGATTTGTCAATTTCCTCAGATATGCGGGCCCAAGAAGTTACACTGTTTTTCTAAAGAAGAATGTAACATTTCCCTGCTCTCATATATATAACACTTGAATTTATTTTACAGTGAATTTGAATGGTGCCTACCCCAAGCTAGTGCCTTTCAGACCTGTGGGAAGGCTGATCTCCCCGCCTTTGCTGCTCTCTGTGATTTTCAACATACTTCTCAGCCTGGCCATGCAGACTGTGGGCTTCATTCTGGTTCAGAGGCAGCCTTGGTACAACATGGGGATGCACAGGTAGGGTCACAGACTTGATGCCAGCTTCCCGCTCTCTAATTTCTATCACACATCACATGGCCCATACGGCAGGAGGCAACTGAGTCTTCATTCTGCCAAAGGATTTGGCTTCCTTTAGTCCCTTGGGTACTTTTCCAGAGACCTTCGTTTCTCTGTGATACAGTTTGATAGTAACATTCATTGGCACTCATCTTTGCCTGTCTTAGATGATCCTCTATGACCATCTTTTCTATCAAGGCTGATTATGCATTGTAGTTTGCTTGGACATCCCCAGTTTAAGCCTGATAGCCAATGACATTATTAATATCTTTTCTTTCCTCATTCAAATCTGTACCTGCTGAATGATAAATTATGTGGTCACTCTTATAAATGTTTAGAGATATTAAGACACCAGGGGAAAGATTCATGATGTACTCATCTCTCTCTCCCACATAGCATTAATATACATGATTGGTGCTCAATTTTTTAAATAAATAACTTGGATCTATCTATCTAATCTATCATTTATATATCTATCTATCCAAAACATGGCTCTATCTGTGCTGGTTTCTTCCTCTTTATTTTTCAGTATATTCTTTCCCAAAGTTCTGGCAATTATAGAAACACTGAGGCCATGGAGTCTTGCATGTATTCTCCATAAGTGTCTGTCATCTTACTTCATTGGCTTCTTTGGTTTCCTTTTCAGTGCCTGCACAGTGCAAAATAAAAGCATTTCAAATTTAACCATGCCACCAACTGCTCCAGGAAAAGTTGAAAGTAACGATGGCTTCCCAAGTTTTGAGAACACAACTATATGGTTCTTGGGAACAATCAACTGCATTATTGTGGCTCTTATCTTCTCTAAAGGAAAACCATTCAGGCAGCAGACCTATAAAAACTGTGAGTAGAATTGTACAGGGTCAGAGGTGAGAGGTCATTGGAGAGGAAGACACACATGCCTGGGGTCATTCAGGGAGCCGCTGAAGAGTTGGCACTCATTCAGGGTCTCCTGACTTCCAATCCAGGTTGCTGTAAAACACATTGTACAACCTCATTTTGTGGTCTTTTGTTCCCTCCCTCAAAGCTGTATGAAATGCTGAGGCTTCTTTCACCAGAAGTCTGTCTCTAGGTGTCTTTTCATGGGATCACTCCAAACTGGAAAGACTCATTTATTGCGCTGCTTGTCAGAATTCATCCTGGAGGAGGTAGGGAGGAGGAACACAGCACTCAGTTGCAACATGTCTCCTGCCATGAAGACAATGGGCAGGTTGGCATCATGTGGTTGGCCGCCTGGGAGTGGGTTCAGCTTGGAGGAACCTGATTTCAGAGTTGTGGAGGCTCTTGGCCAAAGCATCTCCTACCTCCTTACATTCTGAGCTGGGAACAGAGTGTGTGTTAGAAATATGGGACCCGCTTTCAGGATATTTATTTGGACACCATCACTACCCCCCTCTAATCGGAAAAATTTAGAAGCATAAGTTGAAAAATCAATATCCTCATAAAAGTTTGTTCAGAGAAAATTATGTTGCCCTTCTTCTTGGAATGACAAAGCAATAGAATGCTGACCTCTACATGATTGCAATTAAAACATGTTTATTTACAGCCATCCTTTTCCCCCAGAAAAAGATTTGAGGTGGATGATTTGCATTAAAGACACTCAGATACTTGAATGCCTTCAAGGCATTTATTCTGTAATAATAAAGATAACTTCTTGTAATAATCTAAGTGTACATCGTCAATGTTATCCTCTATCTATTGCCACTTGCCTCAAGGACATGCATAGACATTTTAGAGGTGAGACCCATTGCATAGAAATGAGTACTTTCCATTGATTATGCTGTGTTTGGATGTGGAAATCAAGTAAATTTAATCAGCATTAATCTAGAATATGTCTTTCAATAGATGTGACACTCTATATTCTGATTTCTCTAAATGATGGCTTGTGTTTTTATTTCCTCAGATATATTTGTCCTTGTGCTGATTGTACAGCTGGCTGTGTGTCTATTCATCCTATTTGCTGATATTCCAGATTTATATAGGCGTTTGGATGTAAGTCTTATCTCTGGGATATGGTGATGTTTACAGTTATTTAACACCCTGAATTCAAAAAGCAGGTCATGACTGCAATTGACATGGATTCTTGGACACCAATTGTTCTTTTAGGACAGTTTTTAAAAATGCTGAATTTATTCATAATTTTTATTTAAGCTGGTCTAGTATTGATTTCAAGTATTTCAAAAGCATTAAACACTTTTCTTTTATATTTTATTGATTTTTTACAGAGAGAAAGGGAGAGGGATAGAGAGTTAGAAACATCGATGAGAGAGGAACATTGATCAGCTGCCTCCTGCACACTCCCCACTAGGGATGTGCCCGCAACCAAGGTACATGCCCTTGACCAGAATCGAACCTGGGACCCTTGAGTCCGCAGGCCGGTGCTCTATCCGCTGAGCCAAACCGGTAAGGGCAAACACTTTTCTTTTAAAGGATTCCCTTTAAGATTGGAAAATCTATTTATACATTTTTTTCAAATGTGAGAGAATTTCCCCCTAAATGATTCTGTTTTGAAGCTGTTTAAAACAGAATTGCCTATAACACTTTTTCAGTTAATTCTTAAATTTGTATTTACATCTTTCTTGTTTACCTCTTTAGAAATGTATTTTTCTGATGTTCATAATTAATGTCAACAAAACTTACTTTTAAAAAAAGCCATGCATGCTCTTAGATTTTTGTTACAACTTTGAAATGTTATAAGAGAAATTTTATAAGTACAAGCAAGAGAAAGTAATATATTTTGATTCTCCTAACCTATCCTACATTTCAAATAGAAGTTAAGCATTACTAAGTGCCTTTTAGACCACTAAATAGAAAGCAGAGAGAAGATCAGAGAAACTGAGTTTTTTTTCACTTAGTGCTTTGCAGACCTGCTCCCTTCCTCTCTGACTCAAAGACAAGTTTCACAAGGGCCAAGATCCTATCTCATTTGTTCTCGTATAGACAGTGCCTTGCCTAACCAATGGGTACAAAATGGCAACAAATGACGGGCGGATGGTTGCATGTCAGTTTCCTAAATGTAGACAGCACTTGGAGCACACAGTGTACTCCAAACCAATAGGACCTTCGGAAACCCAGTGTGACATAAACTAGTGATACATTTAGTTTTTGTTTTCATAATTGCACTAGAGGCCTGATGCACGAAATTCATGAAATAGTAGGCCTTCCTTCCCTTGGCTGCTGGCACCGGCTTCCCTCTGGCACCCAGTACCCAGGTTTGCTTCCCTCTGGCTGCCTGCAAGCACCCGGGACCCCGGCTTCCCTCTGGCCCTGGCTTCATCTGGAAGGACGTCTGGAATGATGTCCAGAACGACGTTTGTTCTAATTAGAATATTACTCTTTTATTATTATAGAGTACTGTGGTTAACACTGTAATTGCCACTGTTGTTAAGGGTCTTCATAAATTACATTAAGTACTTATGAAGATAGTCTTTGTCCTTTAGTTTTCCAAGTGGGTTAAAACTCTGTAGCCCTGCAGAAGTGAGGATTAAGACATGTTGGGCTTAGTCACACTCTTTAATAGTGAGCACTCTAACTGGGAGGCTCAGTCCCCTGGCATAACGAAATAAGGAACATATTTGGTTGGAAGGGAACATGTGTGAAGTCACTGCCAGCATGATGGCAAAGGATTCTGCAAAAAAATTATTGCTTACTCTAAAAATAGTCACTTTTCTTATTAGTGCATAAAATTGTGAGTACATTTTAGAAATGTGAATATGCAGACAGCAAAATTATAATATTGTTACTTTATCCTTTCATCTTTGAAAATGCATCTATTACAAATGTGCACTGTCTGATTTATGAAATTTATTTTCTTTAAAATGACATCATGAGGTTTTGCAACCTAGTTATTGCTCATTTAAAAAAATGCATGAATTTTTTTAAAACAGAGGATATATTCACATAGTTTAAAATTCAAAAGTTAAAGTTATGTAGGGGAAAAAAATCTTCCTTCTTTCTTTGTTCCCCAGCTACCAGTTCTCCTTTCTGGAGGCAACTGATGACACCAGCTTATTTTACATAATTTCAGACATATTTTGGGATATTTACACAAATACATGAATTTGTATGTGTCTTATATGTATATTTTGCCATATTGTTACACAAATAGTAGCAAACAATTACATTTGTCCAGGTCTTCTGAAATAGAGATGTCAAGATGAGATGAGGTGTGTAAGAAAGTTACTGGAGGGATTGCCTATGGAAGAAAAAATTCAGGAAGCTAGAGGAGGTGCAGAGGGTACTACACTACGTCGTCTGACCTCTGTGAAGCAGAGAGGGAAGGAAGGTGGGGTAGGTGAGTAGTTTCAGACTATAGCACAGTTATAAGAAAGTTGAGCCAAAGTTGCTCATCAGAGGTGTCTAATATCTCACGAATGAATGTGATTGGAAGCCTGCTGCCCTCAGTTTTATTAGCCACGAGCAGCCCGTGGAAGTGTGGCCTTAGGGTGAACGAATTCTGCATCTAGCAGCTGGGGCACCTGTTATTTATCCTCTCGGCAGCAGATCGGAGTGTAGCCTGGTCCTGGCTGCCACAATCACAGCAATAGTCCTGCACTTTGTTCTTTTATGTAAGTCTATTTTGCTAATTGATCCATATCAGTACATAAAACTTCCTCATTGTTTTTTATGCTAATGTAGTATTTCACTATATATATGTGTTTGTATATATATATATATATATATATATATATATATATATATGCCACAATGTATGTGTAGTCCCTCTATTGATCAACATTTAGATTTCAAATTTTTTACTATTGCAAACAAAGCTGCAATAAAATAACCTTATACATATACTAGAGGCCTGGTGCACAAAACTTGTGCATGGTGGGGGGGTCCCTCAGCCCAGCCTGAAATGACACCAGTGTCCCGCACCCCGGCCTCTGACCTGAGGCCCCTCCCCTCCCTCCACGCAGCTGGGGAGTGGATGCTGGGCTCGTGTCACTGAGGGCAAGGTGAGCCCAGCGTCCCACGCCCAGACTTCTGGCCAGAAGCTCCTCCCCTTCCTCCATGCAACTGGGGTGCAGACACTGGGCTCTCATTGCCAGGGCAACATCACCAGCATCCCACCCCAGCGACCTTTGTTGTGGAGTGATGGATAATTTGCATATTACTCTTTTATTAGATAGGATCATTCCAACCAAGTACAAGTACATCTCTAGGGTAAATTCCTAGAAATGAATTTGAACTTTAAATTTTAATAGCATGTCCCTCCATAGAGCTGTACCAGTCTTTATTCTCACCAGTGTAAAGGCAATGTAAGAGGCAGTGCTGGGTACAGTGCACTTGGCTGTGTTTCTCTTATTCATTCATTCATCCATTTACTATCCATATATAACATATCTATCTTGAGCCTGGGGAGGGGCTAGGGAAGATAGAGAGGAAGTGGAAAAAGAGACAGGTAGTGGCATGTGTGCCCTCAGAGTCTCCTGGGAGTACAGCCACATCCCTGTATTCCCTCATGGAAACAAAACAACACAAGCAAACAAAAAATACTTTTACTATTATTTTTTGTTGTAAGGTGACCAGACTTATTTTAGGAAATTTAGAAATTACAGAGAAAAAAGAAGAAAGAAAGGAAGATTAAAAAAAAAAAGTAGCTATCATAGTCCCCAAATCACTGGCATCATTGAGTATAATTTTTCCACACTGCTTTCTGTGCATACATGCATAGAAATACTTACATATATAAAGCATACCTCTTACACATGTGTATAACATGTACACACGTATGTGTCTATTGCATATGTGATTTGTAACCTATGAAAGTGTACACTGTGAACACGTGAACATTTTCCAGCATATATTTGTCTTCAGACTAACTGTGCTTCATCTCCTGCCAGTTGCTCTGCACTCCTGTCCTGTGGAGGGTCTGCATTGTCATTATGCTCAGCTGCAATTTCATCGTGTCCCTTATTGTGGAGGTAAGTGCCCTCAGGCTGCTGATCACTGGTGTGTGTGTGTGTGTGTGTGTGTGTGTGTGTGTGTGTGTGTGTGACATTTTCGGGGAGTCTGAAAAAGGAAGAACAGCTTTAGCTGACAAGGCTCAGCAGTGCAAGGGGCTCCCTTCCTTGGCGACATGAGCAACAGTGCTTTCCTCTTATGAGCTCAAAACAAGGTGTTTGTGTTCCCACCTGTAAAGTGGATCTGGGAGACTAGAACTATGACCGCTAAGGTCCTGTTCATTTCTTTCTTTCTTTTCTTTCTTTTTTTGGGGGGTGGGGTGGGGAGGGCGGGTCCTGTTTATTTCTAAAATTGACAAATAAAGGCCCAACTCAGTTCATTTTTTGAAATTTTACCATTTAAAATTTACCTTTTAAAAGTGTACAATTTAGTGATTTTTAGTATTTTTATTGAGTTGTGCAACCATCACTACTGTCTAATTCTGGAACATTCTCATCACCCCCAAAAAGATCCTGTCACATTAGCAGTCACTCCACACCTCCCCTTCTTCCTCCTTCAGCCCCTGTCAACCACTAATTTATTTTCTGTCTCTATGGATTTGCCTATTCTGGACATTTCATATAAAGGGAATCATACAATATGTGGCCTTTTGTGTATGGCTTCTTTGACTTAAGAACTTGTATCATTTTTACTGTACAGAAGGGAAATGAGGTTCCTAGTGAGCTTTTGCTGGCTTTTATTCTTCAGCTCCCATTTCCTCACTGTAATGAGCTTGTACCCACCCTCATCTGTGCTATGCGGTTCTCTCTGTCCTCCTTCAGTACTTTTGGACACAATCTCCATTCTTCAAAACTTACTGTTAGTTAGGAGGGGTGCCCCCCGAAAGGCACGCCAAAGGAGAGGTGAGCTGCAGGACCCTATCTGTCCCCATTCCCACCCTCATCACAAAGGTGGGCTTGTTCCAGTGAGGGGGCGTCATGGAGGGCTGAGGGCACTATAGCCTTATGTCCCACAGTATTTTGTAGGCAGACCTCAACAAACCTTCCTTACTGAGCAAGGTAAAGATTGCACAGGAACAGGTGGTAGAATAAGACAAAGAATAGGGTACTGGAGCTTCTCTCACTATGCCCAAGTTTGAGGGCTTCTCAAGGGGCTAGACACAGGAATCACCTGGGGGGCATGTTAAAAACAATTGTCCACCCTGCCCCCAACTTTCATGATCCAGTAGGTCTGGAGCAGGCATCCACTTTCATTTCCCAGGTTTCCTGGTGATTCTGGTGCTGCTAGTTCAGGGATCACACACTGAGAAGCACTGTGCTACAGCATATGGTTTCCAAAGCCACTGAGTTAATGAAAGAGCATCATCGGGGTGTCCTCATAATGAATTGCGGAAGATAGTCCCTGCCCTTTAAAGGAATATGTATCTTGTCCCTTCCACAATCACATTATTTCTTCTGTCTATTACCTCTTTTCCACTCCTGCATGTTGAAATGCTATGCTGGTAATACTATCAACATCAAAAAATATATACTTTTAAAAAAGTTAAGTTAAAAAAATGCTCATCTATTCTCAATGGCACAGCTGCAGGACTATGCTCTTCATAAACCTTTCCAGATGCCTAGCTCAGTTAGGCAAGGAACAAAGGCCAACTAACAGTGGTTTAAACAATAAAGATATGTATTGATTCATTTAAGAAGATTGGAGGTAAGTGGCTTCAGGGCTGGTTTAGTGACTGGGTGTCATGGGGGATCCACATTCTTTTTTTAAAAAAATATATTTTATTGATTTTTTACAGAGAGGAAGGGAAAGGGATAGAGAGTTAGAAACTTCGATGAGAGAGAAACATCGACCAGCTGCCTCTTGCACACCCCCCACCGGGGATGTGCCCGCAACCAAGGCACATGCCCTCGACTGGAATCGAACCCGGGACCCTTGAGTCCGCAGGCCGACACTCTATCCACTGAGCCAAACTGGTCAGGGCAGGATCCACATTCTTTTACCTTTCTGTCCCACTAGCCTTAGATCTTGGTCTTTTACATTTGTGCTTGTTGCTTATGGCGCCCAGATATCTTCTGCACAATTGGGCATTGCATCTGTTTTCAGTGCAGGGAAAAAAGGAAGGGAGGCACTAGCAAGTTTTTTCCTTCAAGTATGAATCTGTTACCAGTGAACAAAACAAAATCCGACAGCCCACCTGCAGGCTTTTGCTTATGCTCATTGGTTATAACTGTGTCTCATTGGCATCCTCAGTAGAAAAGGATTCTGGGAAAGTGGATTTGTACCACAACGTTAGACAGATTGGCTTAGACTATGTGTTTGTTCATTTTTCCTTTTAGGCAAGCAAGGAAGAGTTGGGAGGAATGAGTTGTAGAGGTAACAGAGCAACACAGCCTGCTGCAGTCCCCTTGCAGGAAGCCATTCCACAGTCAGCATAGTTGCAGTTAGGAGCATAAGCCGGGGGTAGTTTACCTGTGTTTGAATCCTGGCTTCACCCTTTCTTGCTCCCCGACTACGGCAGTACTTGCTACTCCACTTCTCTGTATCTCTGTTTCCTCACTTGTAAAATAGTATAATAATGGCACCTTACCTCAAGGGTAACTGTGAGCATGAAATGTGAACAATGAAACACATGTAGTAAGTAATCTTGGTAGATATAAGCTACAATTATTCTATTATCTCTGTGGTACTTATCATTTCTTACTTTGTATCTACCAACCATTCAGGTATTCGTGTATTCATTCACTCTTTCCACAAGCATTTGTTGACCATGTGCCATATCCTAGGGCACTATGCCAGCTGATGGAGAGGGCGATTTAATACTCATGGAAGATAAAGCTTCTCCGCTGCTTCCCATGTTGAGTGAGAAATTGAGACACTTGTGGTGTCCAGTGTGTTCACAGCAGCTCCTACACTGAGAAATAGCATTGCAGGGTTCCAGGTCCCACTCTGAATCTCCTCCATGAAGTTACCCATCTTCTGCTGTCAGTACATACTCGGGAATAAACCCAAGCCATTTGAGTCTTTGTAGAGCAAGCATGTCAAATTCAAAGGTTAACATGGGCCAAATAAACCAGGCATGTGGCCCACAGGCAGCACGTTTGATATGCCTGTTGTAGAGTGATAGGACAGATGATCTCTCAGGACTTCTGTTTTATTTTTTGATGAAGTCAGTTATAATGGAGAATTTCTGCCTCATGAGGTGAGCCTAGCAGAGTAGGTAAAGGCCCCAGACTATTAGGGATGCAGCAAGATGTCTTCCTCCGATAGCTCTAGGTATGTCTCACACAAGATAATAAGGATTCCTAGGATGGGCTGTGCTAACTCCATACTAGCTTGCCAGGCTATGGCAGAGATGATCCAGAGAGGTATTGAGCATGGGAGATGGCTGGCTTCCTTTTGCAGAGTCCTGAGTATTGTCTGGTCTGCTGAGAGGTTTAACCCTAACTTTAATCTTAGAGTATCCCCACAAGAAAACAGATTTGAACAAGACCTTACCCTTATTTTGCCAATTTGTATGATCTAACCTTCAGCTGAGAGACAGAGGAGCTAATATTTATAGCTTTAATCCCTCTCCTTTTTTATTATTTACTAGAGGCCGGGTGCATGAAATTCGTGCACTGGAGGGGGGGGAGGGGTTCCTCAGCCTGGCCTGTGCCCTCTCACAGTCTGGGAGCCCCACAATCAATCACCCCATAGAGGTAGGCCCTGCCCATCCAGCTGGGGCTCCACGATGGATCACCCCCACAGAGGGAGACCCCGCCCACCTGCCGCAGCCGCAGCTTGCCTCCCTCTTTGGCGCAATCATGGATCCCCCCAATTGATCGCTTGCCCTGCCAGCCAGTAGCCTGGGCCTCCCTCTGCAGGGCAATCATGGGCCGATGGCCGGGCCCCTGACCAATGGCATTGCACCGGCCTTGGCTTGCCTGGCGCCAGTAGGTGTCATAACATGTCGTTCAGATGGTCGTTCTGCTGTTCAGCCATTAGGTCGATTTGCATATTATGCTTTTATTATTATAGACTAGAGGCCCAGTGCACAAAAATTTGTGCACTCGAGGGGGAGGGGGGCCCCTCAGCCCAGCCTGTGCCCTCTAGCAGTCTGAGACCCCTCGGGCGATAACGACCTGCTGGCTTAAGCCTGCTCCCGGGTGGCAGAGGGCAGGCCTAATCCCTAGGTGCAGCCCTTGGTCGGGCTCAGAGCAGGGCCGATTGGGGAATTGGGGCGCCGGCCCCTGTCATGCACAGAGCAGGGCAGATTGGGAGTTTGCAATGCCACCCTCACTCACGCTCAGGGTAGGGCCAATTGGGGGGTTGGGGCACTGCCCCCTGTCACACTCAAGGCAGGGTCGATGGGGAGGTTGCGGTGCCACCCCCTGTCACGCACAGAGCAGGGCTGATCAGGGGGTTGGGGCGCTGCCCCCTGTCACGCACAGAGCAGGGCGGATCAGGGGGTTGGGGCGCCGCCCTCTATCACACACAGAGCATGGCCGATCAGGGGGTCGGGGCGCCGCCACTCTCACACTCAGGGCAGGGCCGATGGGGAGGTTATGGCTCTACCCCATCACACACAGAGCAGGGCCTGTGGGGTGGGGGGGGGGTGTTGAGGCGCCGCCCCCTGTCACACACAGAGCTGCAGGGCGATCAGGGGGTTGGGGAGCTCCCCCCTATCAGGCACAGATCAGGGCCGATCAGAGGGTTGGGGCGCCTTCCCCTGTCAGGAACAGAGCAGGGCCAATAGGGAGGTTGTGGCTGTGCCCCCTGTCACACACAGAGCCACAGGGCGATCAGGGGGTTTGGGCACTGCCCCCTGTCATGCTGATCCCGGTGCCGGGAGACCTCGCAGCTCCCCCAATCCCAGTGCTGGGAGGCATATTACCCTTTTACTATATAGAATAGAGGCCTGGTGCATGGGTGGGGGCTGGCTGGTTTGCCCTGAAGGGTGTCCTGGATCAGGGTGGGGGTCCCCACTGGGGTGCCTGGCCAGTCTGGGTGAGGGGCTGAGGGCTGTTTTCAGGCTGGGACT